AAAAATACCATTTTTTTCCTAAAAAATCCCATTTTTTTCCTTAAAATCCCATTTTTTTCCCCAAAAATCCCCTCCCAGAAATCCCATTTTTCAAAAACACAATTTTTTCCCAAAATCTCATTTTTTCCTAAAAATCCCCTCCCAAAAATCCCATTTTTTTTCCCCAAAATCCCATTTTTTCCCAAAACCGAATTTCCGACTGATTTTCTCTCTCCGTTCCCATTCGGGATTTGGGATTTTTGGGTTATTTTTGGGATATTTGGGTTATTTTTGGGGTTTTTGGGGTTATCACTCGGTCAGCAGCTGCTGCAGAGGCTCCGGGCGGTGCCGCCGGCGGTGCCGGATTCGGGGTTTTGGCGCCGGGCGGTGCCGATGGACAAACCCCAAACACCCAATGGGTGAGTTTCTCATTTGGGATATTTGGGATATTTTGGGGGTTTTTGGGGTTATTTTTGGGGTTTTTGGGGTCACTCTGTCAGCAGCTGCTGCAGGAGGCTAAAAACCCCCTCCCAAAAATCCCATATTTTTTCCAAAAATCCCCTCCCAAAAATCCCATTTTTTCCAAAAATCTCCTCTCAAAAATACCATTTTTTTCCTACAAACCCTCTCTGAAAAATCCAATTTTTCCCAAAAATCCCCTTCAAAAATCCCATTTTTTTTCCCAAAAATCAGATTTTTTTTCTGAAAAATCCCTTTTTTTTCCTAAAATTCCCCTCCCAAAAATCCAATTTTTTTCCTAAAAATTCCGTCCCAAAAATCCCGTTTTTTTTCCAAAAATCCCCTCCCAAAAACCCCATTTTTCCCCCAAAAATCCCATTTTTTCCCAAAAACTGAATTCCGACTGATTTTCTCTCCATTCCCATTTGGCATTTTTGGGATTTTTGGGATATTTGGGGTTCAGGATTTGGGATTTAGGGTCACTCAGTGAGGAGCTGCTGCAGGAGGCTCCGTGCCGGTGCCGGCGGTTGTGCCGGATTCGGGGTTTTGGCGCCGGGCGGTGCCGATGGACAAACCCCAAACACCCAATGGGGTGAGTGTCTCATTTGGGATATTTGGGATATTTTTGGGGTTATTTTTGGGTTATTTTTGGGGTTTTTGGGGTCACTCGGTCAGCAGCTGCTGCAGGAGGCTAAAAACCCCCTCCCAAAAATCCCATTTTTTCCTAAAAATCCCCTCCCACAAATCCCATTTTTTCCAAAAATTCCCCTCCCAAAAATCCCGTTTTTTTACCCAAAAATCCCCTCCCAAAAATCCCATTTTTTCCCTAAAAATCCCCTCCCATAAATCCAATTTTTTCCAAAAATCCTGTTTTTCCCCAAAATCCCATTTTTTTCCTAAAAATCTCCTCCCAAAAATCCTATTTTTTCCTAAAATTCTTGTCCCAAAAAATCCCAATTTTTTTCCCATTAAAATTCCAATTTTTTTCCCAAAAATCTCATTTTTCCCAAAAATCCCCTCCCAAAAATCCCATTTTTTCCTAAAATCCCTCCCAATAATCCCCTTTTTTTCCTAAATCCCCTCTCAAAAATTCTTTTTTTTTCCTAAAATCCCCTCACAAAAATCCTAATTTTTTTGCAAGAAATCCAATTTTTTCCAAAAATCCCATTTTCCCCCAAAATCCCACTTTTCCAAAAATCCCCTCCCAAAAATCCCATTTTTTCCCCAAAATCACATTTTTTTCCTAAAATTCCCCTCCCAAAAAATTCCATTGTTTTTCCTCAAATCCCGTGTTTTCCAAAAATCCCCTTGAAAAAATCCAATTTTTCCCCAAAAAATCCCCTCCCAAAAATCCCATTTTTTCCTAAAAAATCCCATTTTTTCCCAAAAATGCCATTTTTTTTCCCCAAAAACTCCCGTCCCAAAAATCCCCTCCCAAAAATCCCATTTTTTTTCCATGCAAAATCACATTTTTTCCCCCAATAATCCCATTTTTTCCCCAAAAAAATCCCATTTTTTTCCCCAAAATCCCATTTTTTCCCCCAAAAAACGAATTCCGACTGATTTTCTCTCCGTTCCCATTTGGGATATTTGGGGTTATTTTGGGGTTATTTTTGGGGTTATTTTTGGGGTCATCACTCGGTGAGGAGCTGCTGCAGGAGGCTCCGCGCCGGTGCCGGTTGTGCCGGATTCGGGGTTTTGGCGCCGGGCGGTGCCGATGGACACACCCCAAACACCCAATGGGGTCAGTTTCTCTCCCTTCCCATCCGGGATTTTTGGGTTATTTTTGGGATTTTTGGGGTCACTCTGTCAGCAGCTGCTGCCGGAGGCTAAAAACCCCCTCCCAAAAATCCCATTTTTTCCTAAAAATCCCCTCCCAAAAATCCCATTTTTTCCTAAAATTCCCCTCCCAAAAATCCCGTTTTTTCCAGAATTCCCCTCCCAAAAAATCCAATTTTTTTCCCCAAAAATCCCATTTCTTTTCCCTAAAATCCCATTTTTTTCCCAAAAATCCCATTTTTCCCTAAAATTCCCCTCCCCAAAAAATCCCTTTTTTTTCATCCAAAAATCCCATTTTTTACCCGAAAAATCCCATTTTTTCCAGAAATCCCCTGCCAAAAATCCCATTTTTTCCCAAAATCCCATTTTTTAAAAATCCCCTCCCAAAAAATGCTATTTTTTCCAAAAATCCCATTTTTCCCAAAAATCCCCTCCCAAAAATCCTTGTTTTCCCAAAAATCCCATTTTTTCCAAAAAAACCCTTCCAAAAATCCCATTTTTTTCCCCAAAAATCCCATTTTTTCCCAAAAACCGAATTCCGACTGATTTTCTCTCCATTCCCATTTGGCATTTTTGCGATTTTTGGGTTATTTTTGGGTTATTTTTGGGGTTTTTGGGGTCACTCAGTGAGGAGCTGCTGCAGAGGCTCCGGGCGGTGCCGGTTGTGCCGGATTCGGGGTTTTGGCGCCGGGCGGTGCCGATGGACAAACCCCAAACACCCAATGGGGTCAGTTTCTCATTTGGGATATTTGGGTTATTTTGGGGATATTTTTGGGGTTTTTGGGGTCACTCGGTGAGCAGCTGCTGCAGAGGCTCCGGGCGGTGCCGGTTGTGCCGAATTCGGGGTTTTGGCGCCGGGCGGTGCCGATGGACAAACCCCAAACACCCAATGGGGTCAGTTTCTCATTTGGGATATTCGGGATTTTTGGGTTATTTTTGGGGATATTTTTGGGGTTATTTTTGGGGTTTTTGGGGTCACTCTGTCAGGAGTTGCTGCAGGAGGCTCCGCGCCGGTGCCGGCGGTGCCGGATTCGGGGTTTTGGTGCCGGGCGGTGCCGATGGACACACCCCAAACACCCAATGGGGTCAGTTTCTCATTTGGGATATTTGGGATATTTTCAGGTTATTTTTGGGTTATTTTTGGGGTTTTTGGGGTCACTCTGTCAGGAGTTGCTGCAGAGGCTCCGGGCGGTGCCGGCGGTGCCGGATTCGGGGTTTTGGCGCCGGGCGGTGCCGATGGACAAACCCCAAACACCCAATGGGGTCAGTTTCTCTCCGTTCCCATTCGGGATTTTGGGGATATTTTTGGGGTTATTTTTGGGGTTTTTGGGATGATCACTCAGTCAGCAGCTGCTGCAGGAGGCTAAAAAACCCCTCCCAAAAATCCCATTTTTTCCAAAACTCCCCTCCCAAAAGTCACGTTTCTTTCCTAAAATTCCCCTCCCAAAAATTCCCTTTTTTTTCCCTAAAATCCCATTTTTTCCAAAAAATGCCATTTTTTCAAAAATTCCCCTCCCAAAAACTCCAATTTTTTTTCCAATAAAATTCCATTTTTTTTTCCCAGAAATCCCAATTTTTCCAAAATCCCCTCCAAAAAATCCCATTTTTTCCAAAAATACCCTCCCAAAAACATCCCTTTTTTTCCCCCAAAAATCCCATTTTTTTGTAAAATCCCATTTTTTCCCAAGAATCCAATTTTTTTCAAAAATCCCCTTCCAAAAATCCATTTTTTTCCAAAAAACCCTTCCAAAAATCCCATTTTTTCCTTGAAAAATCCAATTTTTTCCCCCAAAAACTGAATTCCGACTGATTTTGTCTCCGTTGCCATCCGGGATTTGGGATTTTTGGGTTATTTTTGGGGTTATTTTTGGGATTTTTGGGGTCACTCAGTGAGGAGCTGCTGCAGAGGCTCCGGGCGGTGCCGGCGGTGCCGGATTCGGGGTTTTGGCGCCGGGCGGTGCCGATGGACAAACCCCAAACACCCAATGGGGTGAGTTTCTCATTTGGGATATTTGGGATATTTGGGTTATTTTTGGGTTATTTTTGGGGTTTTTGGGGTCACTCGGTCAGCAGCTGCTGCAGGAGGCTAAAAACCCCTCCCAAAAATACCATTTTTTCCTAAAAAACCCCTCCCAAAAGTCCCATTTTTTCCTAAAAATGTCCTCCCAAAGATCTCATTTTTTCCTAAAAATCCCCTCCCCAAAATCCCATTTTTTCCTAAAATCCCCTCCCAAAAAATCCCATTTTTTCCAAAAATCCCCTTCTAAAAATCCCATTTTTTCCCAAAATACCCATTTTTTTCCAAAAATCCCCTCCCAAAAATCCCATTTTTGAAGAACACAATTTTTCCCAAAAATCCCCTCCCAAGAATCCCATTTTTTCAAAAACCCAATTTTTCCCAAAAATCCCATTTTTTCCAAAAATCCCCTTGCAAAAATCCCATTTTTTTCCTAAAATTCCCCTCCCCAAAAATCCCACTTTTTTTTCCCCAAAAATCCCATTTTTTTCCTAAAAATCCCCTCCCAAAAAATCCCATGTTTTCCAAAAATCCCATCCAAAAAATCCCCTTTTTTCCCCAAAAAATCCCCTCCCAAAAAAATCCCATTTTTTTCCTAAAAAATCCCAATTTTTTCCCAAAAATCCCATTTTTTTCCCAAAAATACATTTTTTCCCCAAAAATCCCATTTCTTTTCGTAAAATCCCATTTTTTCCCAAAAATCCAAATTTTTTCTAAAAATCCCCTCCAAAAAATCCCATTTTTTCCTCCAAAACCGAATTCCGACTGATTCTCTCTCCGTTCCCATTTAGGATATTTGGGATATTTGGGGTTTTTGGGATTTAGGATTTCAGGATTTGGGGGTTTTGGGGTCACTCGGTGAGCAGCTGCTGCAGAGGCTCCGGGCCGGTGCCGGTTGTGCCGGATTCGGGGTTTTGGCGCCGGGCGGTGCCGATGGACAAACCCCAAACACCCAATTGGGTGAGTTTCTCATTTGGGATATTTTTGGGGTTATTTTTGGGGTTATTTTTGGGGTTTTTGGGTCACTCGGTCAGCAGCTGCTGCAGGAGGCTCCGTGCCGGTGCCGGCGGTGCCGGATTCGGGGTTTTGGCGCCGGGCGGTGCCGGGGCCGGTGCCGGGGACAGGAACGGGTCCCCCAGCAGGTTCACCGTGCACTGAACGTCCGCAAACACCTGAACCTGCTGCACCTGTACGGGGAGAAAAATGGGTGAGAAATGGGGGAAATGGTTAAAATGGGGGAAAAATGGGGGAAATGGGGAAAAATGGGGAAAAAAGGGGTGAAAAAGGGGGAAAAATGGGGAAAAAAGGGGTGAAAAAAGGGGGAAAAAAGGGGAAAAAAGGGGAAAAAAAGCACAAAGAAATAGGAAAAAAACAAAAAAAAACAGGAGAAAAAACAAAAAGAAAACGAACAAAAAAGGAATAAAACAAAAAAAAACCAAAAAAAGAAAAAAACAAAAAATGGGGGAAATGGGTGAAAAATGGGGAGAAATGGGGAAAATGGGTGAGAAAGGGGAAAAATGGGGAAATGGGTGAAAAAGGGGAAAAATGGGGAGAAAAAGGGGAAAATGGGTGAAACAGGGGAAAATGGGGAATTGGGGGGAAAATGGGAAATGGGGGGAAAATGGGGAAAATCAGTGAAAAAGGGGAAAAAAGAGAAAAAAAGGGAAAAAAGCAAAGAAATAGGAAAAAAACACAAAAAAAAGGGAAAAAACAAAAAAAAAAAAAAACGAAAAAAGGAAAAAAAACAAAAAAGGGGAAAAAAACAAAAAAATGGGAAAAAGGGGAGAATTGGTGAGAAAGGGGAAAATGGCAGAAAAAGGGGAAAATGGGTGAAAAAAATTGGGAAAATGGGGGAAAATGGGGAAAATGGGGGAAAAATGGGGGAAATGGGGTGAGAAATGGGGAAAAAGGGGGGAAATGGGAGAGAAATGGGGGAGAAATGGGGGAACAATGGGGGGAAAAAGGGAAAAAAAGGGAAAATAAGGCAAAGAAATAGGAAAAAAACACAAAAAAAAGGGGAAAAAACAAAAAAAAAACAAACAAAAAAGGAATAAAACAAAACAAAAAAAAGGGAATAACACAAAAAAAAAACCAAAAAAAAGGAGGAAAAAAGATAAAATGGAAAAAAAAAAGGGGGAAAAAAAAAAGGTGAAAAAATGGAAAATGGGGTAAAATGGGGGGGTAATGGAGGAAAAATGGGGAAAAACGGGAAAAAATGGGGGGAAATTGGGTGAAAAATGGGAGGAAATGGGTGAGAAAGGGGGAAATGGGGAAAAGGGGGGAAAATGGGGAAATGGGTGAGAAAGGGGAAAAAAAGGGAAAAAAAAGAAAAAACAGAAGCAAAGAAATATGAAAAAAAAAACAAAAAAGGGGGAAAAACAAAAAAAAAAAAAGGAACAAAATAAAATAAACCAAAAAAAGGAAAAAAAGGGAATAAAACAAAAAAAAAGAAGAAAAAACAAAATATATAAAAAGGAAAAAATAACCAAAAAAAGGAAAAAAAAAAAACCAAAAAAGGAGGAAAAAATAAAAATAGGGGAAAATGGGGAGATGGGTGAGAAAGGGAAAAATGGGGAGAAAATGGGTGAAAATGGGGAAAAATGGGGAAATTGAGGAAAATGGGAAAATGGGTGAAAAATGGGGGAAAATGGGATGAAAAGGGGAAAAATGGGAAAAAAAGGGGAAAAAAAGGAAAAAATGGGAAAAAAGCCCAAAGAAATAGGAAAAAACCACAAAAAAAAAACAGGGGGAAAAACAAAACAAAAATGAACAAAAATGGAGTAAAACAAAACCAAAAAAAGGGAATAAAACAAAGAAAACAAAAAAAAACCAAAAAAAGGAAAAAAGATAAAATGGGGGAAAAAAAAGGGAAAACAAAAAAGGGGGAAAAACAAAAAATGGGGAAAATGGGGAGAATGGGTGAAAAAGGGGAAAATGGGGGAAAAAGGGGAAAAATGGGTGAGAAAAATTGGGAAAATGGGGGGAAATGGGGGAAAATGGGGGAAAAATGGGGGAGAAAAAGGGGAAAATGGGAAATGGGTGAGAAAGGGGTGGAAAATGGGGAAAATGGGAAATGGGTGAGAGAAAAAGGGGAAAAATGGTTAAATGGGGTGAAAAAGGGGAGAAAAGAAGATAAAAAGAAAAAAAAGCAAAGAAATAGGAAAACAAACAAAAAAAGGGGAAAAACAAATAGGGAAAAACAAAAAAAACGAACAAAAAATGAATAGAATAAAAAAAGAAAAAACAACAAAAAAAGGAATAAAACAAAAAAATAAATAAAGAAAAAACATAAAAAGGGGGAAAAAAGGAAAGAAATAGGAAAAAAAAACAAAAAAGGGGGTAAAACAAAAAAGGAAAAAAACAAAAAAAAGAATAAAAAAGGAATTAAAAAAAAAAGCAAAAAAAGGAAAAAAAAGAAAACAACAACAACAAAAAAAGGGAATGAAACAAAAAAAAGAAGAAAGAAAAATGATAAAAACAAAAAAAAAGCGCAAAGTAATAGGAAAAAAAACAAAAAAAGGGGGTAAAAAAAAGGAAAAAAACAAAAAAGGGAATAAAACAAAAAAAAGGAAAAAAATTAAAAGGAAAAACCGCAAAAAAAGGAAAAAAAAAACCAAAAAAGGAAATAAACCCAAAAAAAAAAGGAAAAAAAACACAAAAAAAAGGGAAAAAAACCAAAATAAAAAAAGGGCAAAAAAGACAAGAAAAAGAAGAAAAATCCAAATTTTGGGGGACATTTCTGGGGGGTTTGGGGACATCTCAGAGGGGTTGGGGACCCCAACCCCAAAGGTGACACCCATGGGTGCCCCAACAGTGCCACCCCAACCCCAACAGTGCCACCCATGGGTGCCACCCAACCCTGGTGTGACCTCAGTGACCTCAACCCAACGGTGCCACCCATGGGTGCCACCCAACATTGGTGTGACCTTGGTGACCCCAACACCAGTGGTGCCACCCATGGGTGCCACCCAACATTGATGTGACCTTGGTGACCCTAACCCCATGAGGTGACACCCATGGGTGCCACCCAAACCTGGTGTGACCTTGGTGACCTCAACGCCACAAGGTGACACCCATGGGTGCCACCCAACATTGGTGTGACCCTGGTGACCCCAATGGTGTCACCCATGGGTGCCACCCAACCCTGGTGTGACCCTGGTGACCCCAACCCCAACAGTGCCACCCATGGGTGCCACCAACATTGGTGTGACCTTGGTGACCCCAACCCCACGAGGTGACACCCATGGGTGCCACCCAACATTGGTGTGACCCTGGTGACCCCAACCCCAAGAGGTGCCACCCATGGGTGCCACCCAACCCTGGTGTGACTCTGATGACCCCAATGGTGACACCCATGGGTGCCACCCACCACTGGTGTGACCCTGGTGACCCCAACCCCAACAGTGACACCCATGGGTGCCACCCAACCCTGGTGTGACCTTGGTGACCCCAACCTCAAGAGGTGACACCCATTGGGTGACACCAACATTGGTGGCACCTTGAAGACCTCAACCCCAATGATGCCACCCATGGGTGCCACCCAAGCCTGGTGTGACCTCAGTGACCCCAACGGTGACACCCATGGGTGCCACCCAACATTGGTGTGACCTCAGTGACCCCAACCCCAACGGTGCCACCCATGGGTGCCACCTAACCCTGGTGTGACCTTGGTGACCCCAACCCCAACGGTGCCACCCATGGGTGCCACCCAACATTGGTGTGACCCTGGTGACCCCAACCCCAATGGTGACACCCATGGGTGCCACCCAACATTGGTGTGACCTTGGTGACCCCAACCCAATGAGGTGACACCCATGGGTGCCACCCAACCCTGTTGACACCCATGGGTGCCACCCAACATTGGTGTGACCTTGGTGACCTCAACCCCAACGGTGCCACCCATGGGTGCCACCCAACCCTGGTGTGACCCTGATGACCCCAATGGTGCCACCCATGGGTGCCACCCAACACTGGTGTGACCTTGGTGACCTTAACCCCAGGAGGTGACACCCATGGGTGCCACCCAACCCTGGTGTGACCTCAGTGACCCCAACGGTGCCACCCATGGGTGCCACCCACCATTGGTGTGACCTTGGTGACCCCAATGGTGTCACCCATGGGTGCCACCCAACATTGGTGTGACTCTGGTGACCCCAACCCCAATGGTGTCACCCATGGGTGCCACCCAACCCTGCTGTGACCTTGGTGACCCCAACGCCACAAGGTGACACCCATGGGTGCCACCCAACATTGGTGTGACCTCAGTGACCCCAACCCCAACGGTGACACCCATGGGTGCCACCCAACCCTGCTGTGACCTTGGTGACCCTGGTGACCCCAATGGTGCCACCCATGGGTGCCACCCAACATTGGTGTGACCTTGGTGACCCCAACCCCAACAGTGCCACCCATGGGTGCCACCCAACATTGGTGTGACCTTTGTGACCCCAACCCAACGGTGACACCCATGGGTGTCACCCAACATTGGTGTGACCTTGGTGACCCCAACCCCAACAGTGACACCCATGGGTGCCACCCAACATTGGTGTGACCCTGGTGACCCCAACCCCAACAGTGACACCCATGGGTGCCACCCAACATTGGTGTGACCCTGGTGACCCCAATGGTGCCACCCATGGGTGCCACCCAACCCTGCTGTGACCCTGATGACCCCACTGGTGTCACCCGTGGGTGTCACCCAACATTGGTGTGACCCTGGTGACCTCAACCCCAACAGTGACACCCATGGGTGCCACCAAACCCTGGTGTGACCTTGGTGACCTCAACCCCAACAGTGACACCCATGGGTGCCACCCAACCCTGGTGTGACCTCAGTGACCCCAACCCCACGAGGTGACACCCATGGGTGCCACCCAACCCTGCTGTGACCTTGGTGACCCCAACCCAATGATGCCACCCATGGGTGCCACCCAACCCTGGTGTGACCCTGATGACCCCAATGGTGCCACCCATGGGTGCCACCCAACCCTGGTGTGACCTCAGTGACCCCAACCCCATGAGGTGACACCCATGGGTGCCACCCAACATTGGTGTGACCTTGGTGACCCCAACCCCAACAGTGACACCCTTGGGTGCCACCCAACCCTGGTGTGACCTTGGTGACCCCAATGGTGCCACCCATGGGTGCCACCCAACATTGGTGTGACCCTGGTGACCCCAATGGTGTCACCCATGGGTGCCACCCAACATTGGTGTGACCCTGGTGACCCCAACCCAATGGTGACACCCATGGGTGCCACCCAACCCTGCTGACACCCATGGGTGCCTCCCAACATTGGTGTGACCTTGGTGACCCCAACCCCAATGGTGCCACCCATGGGTGCCACCCAACCCTGGTGTGACCTTGGTGACCCAACCCCAATGGTGCCACCCATGGGTGCCACCCAACCCTGGTGTGACCTTGGTGACCCAACCCCAATGGTGCCACCCATGGGTGCCACCCAACCCTGGTGTGACCTTGGTGACCCCAACCCCAATGGTGCCACCCATGGGTGCCACCCAACCCTGGTGTGACCTTGGTGACCCCAACCCCAATGGTGCCACCCATGGGTGCCACCCAAACCTGCTGTGACCTTGGTGACCCCAACCCCAATGGTGTCACCCATGGGTGCCACCCAACATTGGTGTGACCCTGGTGACCCCAACCCCAACGGTGTCACCCATGGGTGCCACCCAACCCTGGTGTGACCTTGGTGACCTCAATGGTGCCACCCATGGGTGCCACCCAACATTGGTGTGACCTTGGTGACCCCAACCCAATGGTGCCACCCATGGGTGCCACCCAACCCTGGTGTGACCCTGGTGACCTCAACCCCACGAGGTGACACCCATGGGTGCCACCCAACATTGCTGTGACCTTGGTGACTCCAATGGTGTCACCCATGGGTGCCACCCGACTCTGGTGTGACCTTGGTGACCCCAGCCCAGTGGTGCCACCCATGGGTGCCACCCAACCCTGCTGTGACCCTGATGACCCCAATGGTGTCACCCATTGGGTGCCACCCAACCCAGGTGCCACCCATGGGTGCCCCGCACTGACCTGGGCGCCGTCGGGGTCGGCCTTGAGCAGCTCCGGGGGGCCCAGGGGGGGACAGAAGAGCCCCGGGGAGCGAAGCGGCACCTCGGGGACCTGCGGGGACGGAATGGGGGATTTGGGATTTGGGATTTGGGGTGGAGATCCCACATTTGGTGGGATTTTGGGATTTGGGATCGGGATTTGGGATTGGAGATGGAATTTGGGATGGAGAGCCCAGGTTTGGTGGGATTTTGGGATTTGGGATCTCAGGTTTGATGGGATTTTTGGTGGGATTTGGGATTTTGGGATCCAATGTTCGATGGGATTTTGGGTTTTGGGATCTCCCGATTTTGGGATTTTTGGTGGGATTTAGGATCTCCCAGTTTTTGGGATTTTTGGTGGGATTTGAGATTTCAGGTTTGGTGGGATTTTGGATCACATAATTGATGGGATTTTGGGATTTGGGATCTCCCAATTCTTGGGATTTTTGGTGGGATTTTGGGATTTGGGATCCAATGTTTGGTGGGATTTTGGGATTTGGGATCTCCCAATTCTTGGGATTTTTGGTGGGATTTTGGGATTTGGGATCCAATGTTTGGTGGGATTTTGGGATTTGGGATCTCCTGATTTGTGGGATTTTTGTTGGGATTTGGGATCTAATGTTCAATGGGATTTTCGGATTTGGGATCCAATGTCTGATGGTGATTTGGGATTTGGGATTTCCCGATTTCTGGTGGGATTTTGGGATTTGGGATCCAATGTTCGATGGGATTTTGGGATTTTGGATCTCAGGTTTGGTGGGATTTTGGGATTTGGGATCTCCCAATCTTTGGGATTTTTTGTGGGATTTTGGGATTTGGGATTTCGCGATTTGTGGGATTTTTGGTGGGATTTTGGGATTTGGGATCTAATGTTTGATGGGATTTTGGGATTTGGGATCCAATGTTCGATGGGATTTGGGATTTGGGATCCAATCTTTGATGGGATTTTGGGATTTGGGATCTCAGGTTTGGTGGGATTTGGGATCTCACAATTCGTGGGATTTGGGATTTTGGATCTCCCAATTTTTAGGATTTTTGGTGGGATTGGGGATTTGGCATCTCAGGTTTGGTGGGATTTTGGGATTTGGGATCCAATGTTCGATGGGATTTGGGTTCCAACTTTGGTGGGATTTGGGATCTCACAATTGATGGGATTTTGGGATTTGGGTTCCAACTTTGGCAGGATTTTGGATCTCCCAATCGATGGGATTTTGGGATTCGGGATCTCCCAATTTTCAGGATTTTTGCTGAGATTTGGGATCTCCCAATCGATGGGATTTTGGGATTCAGGATCTCAGGTTTGGTGGGATTTGGGATCTCACAATTGATGGGATTTTGGGATTCAGGATCTCCTGATTTGTGGGATTTTTGGTGGGATTTGGGATTTCCCAGTTTTTGGGATTTTTGGTGAGATTTGGGTTCCAATGTTTGATGGGATTTGGGATCTGGGATCTCCCGATTTTTGGGATTTTTGGTGGGATTTGGGGATTTGGGATTCCAGGTTTGGTGGGATTTTGGGATTTGGGATCTCCTGATTTGTGGGATTTTTGGTGAGATTTGGGATTTAGGATCCCATGTTTAATGAGATTTTGGGATTTGGGGTCTCAGGTTTGGTGGGATTTTTGGTGGCATTTGGGATTTTGGGATTTGGGTTCCAAGTTTGGTGGGGTTTGGTATTTGGGATCTCCCGATTTTCAGGATTCTTGGTGGGATTTGGGATTTGGGATCTCCCAATTTGTGGGATTTTTGGTGGGATTTGGGATTTGGGATCCAATGTTTGATGGGATTTTGGGATTTGGGATCTCAGGTTTGGTGGGATTTGGGATCTCACAATTCGTGGGATTTGGGATTTTGGATCTCCAAATTTTTAGGATTTTTGGTGGGATTGGGGATTTGGCATCTCAGGTTTGGTGGGATTTTGGGATTTGGGATCCAATGTTTGATGGGATTTGGGTTCCAACTTTGGTGGGATTTGGGATCTCACAATTGATGGGATTTTGGGATTTGGGTTCCAACTTTGGCAGGATTTTGGATCTCACAATCGATGGGATTTTGGGATTCGGGATCTCCCGATTTTCAGGATCTTTGCTGGGATTTAGGATCCAATGTTCGATGGGATTTTGGGATTCAGGATCTCAGGTTTGGTGGGATTTGGGATCTCACAATTGATGTGATTTTGGGATTTGGGATTCCAGGTTTGATCTGATTTTGGGATTTGGGATCCAATGTTTGGTGGGATTTTGGGATTTGGGATCTCCCGATTTTTGGGATTTTTGGTGGGATTTTGGGATTTGGGATCCAATGTTTGATGGGATTTTGGGATTCGGGATCTCCCAATTTTCGGGATTTTTGCTGGGATTTGGGATCTCCCAATCGATGGGATTTTGGGATTTTTGGGATTTCTGCCGGGATTTGTGTTTCTCTCCCGTTCCCGCCGTTGCCGACCTGCTCGGAGCAGACGGATCCGATGCCGGCCATGACGGGATTGATGGGAACGCCGCCGGGAACGCCGCCGGGAACGCCGCCGGGAACGCCGCCGGGAACGCCGGATGCGCCGCCGGAGCCGCCGGGCCCGGCCATGGAGACGGTGATGCTCATGTTGTTGTACATCCCCGGCGCCGCCGCGCCCGCCGGCCCGAAAACGCTGCGGGAGCGGGAAAAACCCTCAAATCCCAAATTCCCGGAATTCCGGCCATCGCCGGGATCCACCCCCGCCCTCAACATTCCCAAAAAAACCCAACAAAACCCAAAAAAATCCTGGAATTCCCAACGGTTCTGGTGGGATCGTGGCGGTTCGGTTCCATCTCGGTCCCGTCCCAACGTTGGGATTTTCTTGGATGATCCCAAGGATTTTCTGGGAATTTTTTCGCAAATTCCTGCTCTTTTCCTAGGGAATTCCCTTTGTTCCGCGAGGATTTGGGATTTTGGGATCAAATTTTGGACAATCCCAAATGATAATCCCAAAGGACAATCCCAAAAAACAATCACCAGGGAAAAAACCCCAGTGGCCAATCCCAATGGACAATCCCACCAGCCAATCCCAATGGCCAATCCCAATGGCCAATCCCAATGGATAATCCCAACGGCCAATCCCAATGGATAATCCCAATGGCCAATCCCAATGGCCAATCCCAATGACCAATCCCAATGGCCAATCCCAATGGCCAATCCCAAAGGATAATCCCAATGGATAATTCCAATGGATAATTCCCATGGAAAACCCCAAAGGACAATCCCAAAGGACAATCCCAAAGGACAATCCCAATGGACAACCCCAACGCCCAATCCCATAGGATAATCCCACCGGCCAATCCCAATGGCCAACCCCAATGGCCAATCCCAACGGACAATCCCAATGCCAATCCCAACAGCCAATCCCAAAGGATAATCCCAATGGCCAATCCCAATGGATAATCCCAATGGCCAATCCCAATGGATAATCCCAATGGCCAATCCCAATGGATAATCCCAATGGCCAACCCCAATGGCCAATCCCAATGGATAATCCCAATGGCCAATCCCAATGGACAATCCCAACAGATAATCCCAAAGCACAATCCCAATGGACAATCCCAATGGACAATCCCAATGGCCAATCCCAAAGGACCGTCCCAATGGACAATCCCAACGGCCAATCCCAACGGCCAATCCCGATGACCAATCCCAACGGTCAATCCCAATGGCCAATCCCAAAGGCCAATCCCAATGGCCAATCCCAAAGGCCAATCCCAATGGCCAATCCCAAAGGACAATCCCAATGAATAATCCCAATGACCAATCCCAATGGATAATCCCAATGACCAATCCCAATGGCCAATCCCAATGGCCAATCCCAATGGACAAACCCAACGGCCAATCCCAACGGCCAATCCCCATGGAAAAAACCCCAATGGCCAATCCCAACGGCCAATCCCAATGGCCAATCCCAATGGCCAATCCCAATGGACAAACCCAACGGCCAATCCCAAAAAACAATCCCCATGGAAAAAACCCCAATGGCCAATCCCAAATGATAATCCCAATGGATAATTCCCATGGAAAACCCCATCTGCCAATCCCAACGGCCAATCCCAATGGCCAATCCCAATGGCCAATCCCAATGACCAATCCCAAAGGATAATCCCAACGGCCAATCCCAACGACCAATCCCGACGGCCAATCCCAACGGCCAATCCCAATGGACAATCCCAATGGACAATCCCAATGGACAATCCCAAATGATAATCCCAAAGGACAAATCCCGATGACCAATCCCACCATCCGCCCCCGCGCTGCCGTTCCCGGCGCCGTTCCCGCCTCACCCGTTATTCCCGACTCCGGCGGCGCTGGGCCAGCCCTTCATCTCCGGCGATTGGTACCCGGGCGGTGCCGGCGGCACCAGGGAGCCGCCGGGGCTGAGCGCCGGCGCGAATCCCGCCGGATCGGCCGCCGCCGCCGCCGCGCCTGCGGATCCGGCACCGCGTCACCGCCGCCGCATTCCCGATCCCGGTTTGTCCCGCCCCGCCCCATCCCGGGGATTTGGGGATGGGCTTGGAGCTCTTGGGTTGGGTGGGAGGGCAGGAATTCCCAAAATTCCAAAAAAATTCCCAAAATTCCAGCCCATTCTGGGATCCTGGCCTGCTCCAAAGGTTTCTGGAATGTTCCCAGGGATTTTTTGGGAATTGCCAATCCCAAATCCCTCCCGTTTTCCCAGCCTGGCATGGCATCCATCCCCATCCCAGCTGCTCCCCAGCAAGGAATTTTGGGAATTTTTTGGGAAGTTTTTGGGAATTTTCTGGGAATTTTTTGGGAATTTTTGGGAATTTTCTGGGAATTTTTTGGGAATTTTCTGGGAATTTTTGGGGAATTTTTGGGGAATTTTTTGGGAATTTTTGGGAATTTTCTGGGAATTTTTTGGGGGAATTTTTGGGGAATTTTTTGGGAATTTTTTGGGAATTTTTTGGGAATTTTTTGGGAATTCAGGACTCCAGGAAGGGCTTCCCTGCCCTTTTCCACCCCAGAATTCCGATGGATCCCGAGTGTCCCTGGATCCCGGAATCCCGGGATGGTTTTTGTGGGATCCTCGGAGCTCCAATCCCAACCTTTCCTTGGACATTCCCAGGGATTCTCCGGGAATTCTTTTCCTGGGAATTCCCAAAATTCCTCTCCCAAATCTCCTCCTCCATTCCCACTTTTCCCACCCCTCCCCCTCCCAATCCTTCAGGAATTTCTCTCCCATTCCCTCCCGGCTGCTGAATATCCCAAATATCCCAAAAATTCCAAATGTCTCCAATATCCCGAATGTCCTGATTATCCCGAATATCCCAAATGTCCCAAATGTCCCAAATATCCCGAATATCCTGAATGTCCCAAACACCCCAGATATCCCAAATACCCCGATTATCCCAAATATTCCGAATATTCCAAATGTCCCAAATGCCCCAAATGTCCCAAAAACCCCGAATGTCCCCAATATTCCAAATATCCTGATTATCCCAAATATATCCCAAATACCCCAAATATCCCGAACGTCCTGAATATCCCAAATACCCCAAACACCCCAAATATCCCAAGCATCCCAAATATTCCAAATATCCTGAACGTCCTGAATATCCCAACTACCCCAAATATCCCAAACACACCAAATATCCCAAACACCCCAAATATCCCAAATACCTCAAACTCCCCAAAATATCCCAAATCTCCCAAATGTCCCAAACACCTCAAATATCCCAAATATCCAAAACACCCCAAACACCCAAAATGTCTCAAATATCCAAAACACCCCAAATATCCCAAATGTCTCAAATGTCTCAAATATCCAAAACACCCCATATGTCCCAAACACCCCGAATGTCCCAAATACTCCAAACACCCCAAATACCCCAAATGTCCCAAACCTCCCAAACACCCCAAATATCCCAAACACACCAAATATCCCAAAAAACCCGAATGTCCTGAATATCCCAAATCTCCCGAACACCCCAATTATCCCAAACCTCCCAAACACCCCAAATACCCCAAACACTCCAAATATCCCAAATGTCTCAAATGTCTCAAATATCCAAAACACCCCATATGTCCCAAATATCCTGAACGTCCTGAATATCCCAAATCTCCCAAATATCCCAAATACCCCAAATATCCCAAATGTCCAAAACACCCCAAATATCCCAAATGTCCCAAATGTCCCAAATATCCCAAACATCCCAAATATCCAAAACACCCCAAACACCCAAAATGTTTCAAATATCCAAAACACCCCAAATGTCCCAAACACCCCAAATATCCCAAATAACCCAAATACTCCAAACACCCCAAATATCCCAAATATCCCAAACACCCCAAATATCCCAAACACCCCAAATATCCCAAATAACCCAAACAACCCAAATATCCCAAATATCCCAAACACCCCAAATATCCCAAATACCCCGAACACCCTGAACACCCCAAATATCTCAAACACCCCAAATATCCCAAACACCCCAAATATCCCAAACACCCCAAACACCCCAAATGTCCCAAACACCCCAAATCTCCCAAACATCCCAATTATCCCAAACACCCCAAATGTCCCAAATATTCTGAACATCCTGAGTATCCAAAATCTCCCAAATATCCCAAACACCCCAAATGTCTCAAATATCCCAAATGTCCCAAACACCCCAAATATCCCAAACACTCCCAATACCCCAAACACCCCAAATATCCCAAACCCCCAAAATATCCCAAATCTCCCAAATATCCCAAATATCCCAAACACCCCAAATATCCCAAATACTCCAAACACCCAAAATGTCCCGAACATCCCAAATGTCCTAAATATCCTGAACGTCCTGAATATCCCGAACACCCCAAACATGCCAAACGTCCCAAATATCCCAAATGTCCCAGACACCCCAAACCTCCCAAACACTCCAAATATCCCAAACACCCCAAATATCCCAAACACCCCAAATATCCCGAACACCTTGAATGTCCTAAATTTCCTGAACGTCCTGAATATCCCAAACACCCAAAATATCCCAAACACCCCAAACATCCCAAATCTCCCAAACAACCCAAACACTCCCAATACCCCAAACACCCCAAAAACCCCCCAAAACCCCCCCAAACCCGTACCTGCCCCGGGGGGGTACTGGAAGAGGTTTGGCTGCATCCCGGCGCCGGCTCCGAAGGCGGTTCCGGCCACGCCGCGCCCGCCGCGCCCGCCCAGCGCCGGCGCCTCGGTGCCAAACCCGAACCCGGCGCCGTAGGGGAAGGGCTGTGCCGGGCCGGGGGGCATTCGGGGCGGGGATCCCATGGGAATGGGGGCGGAATTCCCGAAATTCGGCTGCGGCTGCTGCTGCTGGTGGTGGTGGTGGTGGTGCTGGTGGTGTTGGCGCAGGAGCAGCGCGCGCTGCTGCAGCAGCTGCCGCTGCCGGTGCTGCTGGCTGTAGAGCTCCCGCTGCCGCTGCGCCAACATCTGCGCGTTCAGCGGCGGCTGCGGAAGGGAGAAATACCCCAAAAATGGTCCCGAATTCGGCACGGAAAGCGTCCCAAAATACCCAAAATAGCATCCCAACAATTCCAATAATCGTCCCAAAAATCGTCCGGAAATACACAAAGTATCGTCTCAATCCCGAAATTCGGCCCGGAAATCGTCCAGAAATACCCAAAGTATCATCCCAAAAATCCCGAAATTCATCCCAATAATGAGCCCGAAATACCCAAAGTATCGTCTCAATAATCCCAAAATTCGTCCCAAAAATCCCAAAATTCATTCCAATAATCAGCCCAAAAATCCCAAAATTCACCCCAAAAATGGACCCAAAAATCCATATATTCATCCTGAAATTTGTCCCAAAAATCATCCCAAAAATATTGAAATTCACCCTAAAATTCATCCAGCAATACCCAAGATATCATCTCAAAAATCCTGAAATTCATTCCAACAATCAGCCCAAAAATCCCAAAATTCGTCCCAAAAATCATCCCAAAAATCCCAAAATTCGTCCCAAAAATCCCGAAACTCATTCCAATAACCAGCCCAAAGATCCCAAAATTTGTCCCAAAAATCATGCAGCAATACCCAAAGTATAATCTCAAAAATCCCAAAATTCGTCCCAAAATGCATCCCGAAATTCCCAAAATTCACCCCAAAAATCATCCTGAAATTTGTCATCCCAAAATATCAGCCCGAAATTCCCAAAAAATTGTCCCAAAACATCGTCCCAAAAATCATCCCAAAATTCATCCCAAAAAATCATGGCAAAATTCCTAAAATATCATCCCAAAATTCCCAAAATTTAACCCTAAAAATCATCCTGAAATTCATCCCAGAAATCATCCCAAAATTCCAAAATCCATCCCAAAATTCATCCCAAAAATCATCCCGAAATTCATCCCAAAATTCTTCCCAAAAATCCTGAAATCCATCCCAAGAATCATCCCAAAAATCGTCCCAAAAAATCATCCCAATCGTCCCAAAAATCATCCCAAAATTCCCAAAACCCAAATCCCAAACCCCAAAGCCCCGCCCCAGCTCCAAGCCCCGCCCCATCCCTTGGCCCCGCCCCATCCAGTGGCCCCGCCCCCCAAGCCCTTGGCCCCGCCCCTTTCTTGGTACCTGTGTCGCCCCCTGCTGGATCCGGGGCTGTGGGGCCGCCCCGAAGGGCCCCGAGAGCGCCCCCGGGCGGGCGGCCGGCAGCAGCTGGGGAATAATGACAAATTAGTCCCAATTAGCCCTAAATTATACCCAAAATTAGCCCAAAATTAGCCCAAATTAGCCCGAAATTATCCCAAATTATCCCCCAATAATCCCCAAATTATCCCCAAATAATCCCCAAATTATCCCAAAACATACCCAGAATAATCCCCAAATAGTCCCAAAAATTATCCCAAAATTATCCCAAAACAGACCCAGAACAATCCCAAAATAGTCCCCCAAATAATCCCCAAATTATCCCAAAACAGTCCCCAAATAGTCCCAAAATTATCCCCAAATAATCCCAGAATTATCCCATAACAGACCCAGAACAATCCCCAAATAATCCCCAAATGATCCCCAAATTATCCCGAAACAGACCCAAAGTAATCCCAAAATAATCCCAAAATTATCCAGAATCCCAAAATAGTCCTAAAATTATCCCAGAGCAATCCCAAAACAGACCCGAAATAATCCCAGAAAAATCCCAAAACAGCCCCAAAAAAATCCCAAAAGAATCCCCAAAAATACCCCATGCCGTTTTTCTGGATTTTTTGGGGGATTGTTTCAGGAAATTTTTTTTGTTTGTTTTTTAGGAGTTTTTTTGGGAATTTCCCCAATTTTTTGGATGTGTTCCTCAGCTGCCCATCAGGGATTTTCATGGGATTTTTTTCAGGATTTTATGGTGTGATTATTTAGGATTATTTTGTTGTTTTTTTTTTTAAATTTATTTTGGTGAGTTTTTTTTTCAGGATTTCTGTGTTTTTTCTCAGGACTTCTTTGGAGGCTTTTGTGTGATTTTTTTCAGCTTTTTTTGTGGGATTTTTCTGTGGTTTTTTTGGGGATTTTTCGGGATTTTGTTGGGTTTTTTCAGGATTTTGGGGTTTTTTTCCCAGGATTTTAATGAGGATTTTTTTCAGGATTTTTTCAGGATTTTTTCAGGCTTTTATGGTGTGATTTTTTTTTAGGATTTTTTGGTGTTTTTTTTTAATTTATTTTGGTGGGTTTTTTTCAGGATTTTTGTGTGATTTTTTTCAGGATTTTTGTACCCTTTTCCTTGGTTTTTTTGAGGTTTTTTTCCAGGATTTTTTTGTGGGTTTTTTTCACAATTTTTTTTGTTTTTTCACCTGATTTTTCGTGCAATTTTCCCAGATTTTTTTAGGGATTGTTCCAGGAATATTTTTTTTGTTTTTTTAGGATTTTTTTGGGGTGTTCCTCACCTGCTGCTGTCCCTGCAGGCGCTGCTGCAGCTGCAGCCGCAGCGCTGGGGCTGCAGCGACTCCTGGGGCTTTTTTGGGGGATTTTGGGTTTTTTTTTCAGGATTTTTGTGGTTTTTCTCAGGACTTTTTTGGGGGCTTTTGTGTGATTTTTTTTCAGCTTTTTTTGTGGGATTGTTCTGGGTTTTTTGGGTTTTTTTTCCTTGATTTTTTTTGGAGTTTTTTTCAGGATTTTTTGGGTTTTTCAGGGATTTTTTGAGCCCTTTTCCCAGATTTTTTTGTGGCTTGTTTCAAGAATATTTTTTGGGGGGTTTTCTGAATTTTTTGTGATTTTTTCCCAATTTTTTGGGTGTGTTCCTCACCTGCATATCGGGGTTCCTTGGGGTTTTGTGGATTTTTATTTTTCCCCAGGATTTTCATGGGATTTTTTTCAGGATTTTTTCTGGGATTTTATGGTGTGATTTTTTTTAGGATTTTTTGGTGTTTTTTTTTTTTAATTTATTTTAGTGGGTGGTTTTTTAATTTTTTTTTTGTGGGATTTTTTCAGGATTTTTCTGTGATTTTTTTCAGGATTTTTGTTCCCTTTTCCTTGATTTTTTGTGGTTTTTTTCACGATTTTTTCACAATTTTTTTGTTTTCACCCTGATTTTTTGTGCCGTTTTCCCAGATTTTTTTGCGATCACTTCAGGATTTTTTGGGGATTCTTTTTGGGCTTCTTCCCCCATTTTTGGGCATTTTTTGGTGTGTTCCTCACCTGCTGCTGTCCCTGCAGGCGCTGCTGCAGCTGCAGCCGCAGCGGGTTGGGAGCGCTCGGGCCCCGTGGTCGCGCCGCCATCGCCGCCATCGCCGCGCCAGAATGCGCCGGGAACGGCCCCCGGGGAGCCGCCGGAGCCGCCGGAGCAGGAGGAGGAGGAGGAGGAGGAGGAGGAGGAAGAGCAGCAGCAGCAGCCGAAGGAGGAGGAGGAGGAGGAGGAGCAGCCACGGCCACCGGGACGGCCCCAAATGGCGCCTTCAGCCTCGGCATTCCCGCGAAATTCCCGCCCACGCCGGCACCGGATGACGATGACGATGATGGTGATGATGATGATGAGGATGAAGGAGGGAAGGGCTGAGGGAACATTCCGGGTTTTTGCTCCAGGAGTTGGGGCTGGAATCGTTCCGGCTCCAGGCTGCCGCCCTGAGCGGGAAATGCGGGATAAGAGCACGGAATTCTATCCCAAAATCCCTTCCCAGCCCTAAATTCCATTGGAATCCCATCCCAAATTCCCTCTGGAGCCCAAAATCCCTTTGGAACCCATCCCGAAATCCCTTCCCAGCTCAAAATTCCTTTGGAACCCATCCTGAAATCCCTTCCCGGCTCAAAATTCCTTTGGAATCCCATCCCAAAATCCCTTCCCATCCCAAAGTTTCCTCTGCAGCCCAAATTCTTGAAGCCCAATCCCAAAATCTCCTTGGATCCCAAAATCCCTTTGGAGCCCAATCCCAAATTCCCTTCCCAGCCCTAAATTCCTTTGGAATCCCATCCCAAAATCCCTTTGGATGCCAAAATCCCATTGAAGCCCAAATTCTCCTTGGAGCCCAATCCCAAAATCTCTTTGGATCCCAAAATCCCTTTGGAATCCCATCCCAAAATCCCTCTGGAGCCCAAAATCCCTTTAGAACACAATCCCAAAATCCCTTCCCAGCCCTAAATTCCTTTGGAGCCCAATCCCAAAATCTCCTTGGAGCCCAAATTCTACTTGGAGCCCAAAATCCTTTGGAACACAATCCCAAAATCCCTTCCCAGCCCTAAATTCCTTTGGAATCCCAGCCCAAAATCTCCTTGGAGCCCAAAATTCCTTTGGAATCCCATCCCAAAATCTCCTTGGATCCCAAAATCCCTTGGAATCCCATCCCAAATTCCCTTCCCAGCCCAAAATCCTGTGGAATCCAATCCCAAAATCTCCTTGGAGCCCAAAATCCCTTTGGAATCCATCCCAAAATCCCTTCCCAGCCCAGAATTCCTTTGGAACCCATCCCAAAATCTCCTTGGAGCCCAAATTCTCCCTGGATCCCAAAATCCCTTTGGAATCCCAGCCCAAATTCCCTTCCCAGCCAAAAATCCCTTTGGACCCCATCCCAAAATCTCCTTGGAGCCCAAAATCTCTTTGGAGCCCATCCCAAAATCCCTTTGGAGCCCAATCCCAAAATTTCCTTGGGTCCCAAAATCTCTTTGGAGCCTGATCCCAAAATCTCCTTGGATCCCAAAATCCTTTGGAATCCCATCCCAAATTTCCTTCCCGGCTCAAAATTCCTTTGGAATCCCATCCCAAAATATCCTTGGAGCCCAAATTCTACTTGGAGCCCAATCCCAAAATCCCTTTACAGCCCAAAATCCCTTTTGGTCCCAAATTCTCTTTGAAATCCCATCCCAAAATCAGCTTGGATCCCAAAATCCCTTCGGAATCTCATCCCAAAATTCCTTCCGTTCCAAAATTCTTTTGGAATCCCAATCCCAAAATCCCTTTGGATCCCAATTCCAAATTCTCTTTTAATCCCAAATTCTCTTTCAAATCCCAATCCCGTTTTTCCCCATTTTTTCCCTTTTTTTTCCCGATTTTTTCCCCATTTCTCCCCTTCATTTTTCTCCTCCTTTTCTCCATTTTTTCCCCATTTCCTCTTGGTTTTTTCCCAATTTTTTTCCCATTTCTTCTTATTTTTTCCCCATTTTCCCCCTGATTTTTCTGCTGCTTTTCTCCATTTTTCCCCCATTTCCTCTTGGGTTTTTCGCCATTTTTCCCCCATTTTTCCCCCATTTTCCCTCCGATTTCCTCAATTTTTACTCATTTTTTCCCCATTTTTTTCCCCCTTTCCCCCCCTATTTTCCCCCAAGTTTCCCCGACTTTTTCCCATTTTTCCCCATTTTCTCCCCTATTTTTCCCCTTTTTTCCCACATTTTCCCCATTTCTTCTTGGTTTTTCGCCCATTTCTCCGCCATTTTCGCTTCAATTTTCTCCATTTTCCCTCTGATTTTCCCCTGATTTTCCCCCATTTTTCCCCCAAGTTTCCCCCCCAATTTTTTCCCATTTTCCCCCCTTTTTTCCCATCTTTTCCCAATTTTTTCCTGTTTTTTTTCCCCATTTCTCTGCTATTTTCCCTCTGATTTTCTCCATTTTCACTCTGATTTTCCCCCATTTTTTCCCCATTTTTTCCCCGATTTTCCCCCGGTTTTTTTCCCGTTTATCCCCAATTTTTCCCCAACATTCCCGATTTTTCCCGGTCACCAGGACGAGTTTGTCAATCCCCAGCTCCCGCTCGATCTCGCCCAGTTCGGTGTCGTCCCTCCCGCTCCGAAATCTCCTTTTCCCTTTTTCTGCCATTTCCCCCCCAAGTTTTTCCCCATTTTTCCCATTTTCTCCCCTATTTTCCCCCCTTTTTTTCCCATCTTTTCCCCATTTTCTCTCTGATTTTCTCCATTTCCCCCCGTTACTTTCCTGTGTTTTTCTCCATCTTTTCCCCATTTTTTCCCCATTTTCCCCCTGATTGTCTCAATTTTTACTCATTTTTCAGCCCTGTTTTTTCCCCTTTTCCCCCTTATTTTCCCCCAATTTTCCCCGATTTTTTTCCCATTTTCCCCATTTTCTCCCCCATTTTCCCCGTTTTTCTCCACCTTTTCCCCATTTCTTCCTGTTTTTTCCCCCTTTTTTCTGCCATTTTCGCTCTGCTTTTCTCCATTTTTACTCATTTTTTTCCTCCCTATTTTCCCCCAAATTTACCCAATTTTTTCCCATTTTCCCCCCTTTTTTCCCACCTTTTCCCCCATTTTTTCCCATTTTTCCCCCATTTCTCTGCAATTTTTGCTCCGATTTTCTCCATTTTCACTCTGATTTTCCCCCGATTTTCCCCCATTTTTTCCCCATTTTTTCCCCATTTTTCCCCCCGTTTTTTTTCCCGTTTATTTCCAATTTTCCCCAACATTCCCGGGATTTTCCCCGTGTCACCTGGACGAGTTTGTGGATGCCGAGGGCGCGGTCGATCTCGCCCAGCTCGGTATCGTCCCTCCCGCCCAGAAATCTCCTTTTCCCTTTTTCTGCCATTTCCCCCCCAATTTTTTCCCCATTTTTCCCATTTTCTCCCCTATTTTTCCCCCATTTTCTCCATATTTTCCCAATTTCTTCCTGTTTTTTCCCCATTTCTCCGCCATTTTCCCTCAGATTTTCTCCATTTTCACTCTAATTTTCCCCTGTTTTTTCCCCATTTTTTCCCCGTTTTTTCTCCATTTTTTTCCTGATTTATCCCCAATTTTCCCCCATGATTCCCGGGATTTTTCCCGTTTTTTCCCGTGTCACCTGTACGAGTTTGTCGATGCCGAGGGCGCGGTCGATCTCGGCCAGCTCGGTGTCGTCGCGGCCGCTGAGCAGCGCCAGGAGCTGTTCCAGCAGCGCGCGCTCCTCGCCCGGGCCCGGCCCCAGCAGCTCCTCCAGCCTGCGGGAAAAAACAGCCGGAATTCCCGGAATTACCGCTGGAAAAACAACGGGAATGATGGAATTCACAGCCGGAAAAACAACGGGAATTCCCAAAATTCCCAGCCGGAAAAACAACGGCAATACAGGAATTCACAGCCGGAAAAATAACGGGAATGACGGAATTCACAACCGGAAAAACAACGGGAATGACGGAATTCACAGCCGGAAAAACCGCGGGAATGCTGGAATTCACAGGCAGTAAAACCGTGGGGATGCCGCAATTTCCGCCTGGAAAAACCATGGGAATGCCAGAATTCACAGCCGGAAAAAAAAACAGGAATTCCCCAAATTCCCAGATAGAAAAACAATGGGAATTCCTGAGTTCCCACCCAGAAAAATGGAAATTCCCAAAATTCACATCCGGAAAAACACCGGGAATTCCCCAAATTCCCAGCCGGAAAAATAGGAATTCCCCAAATTCCCAGCTAGAAAAACAATGGGAATTCTTGAGTTCCTGCCCGGAAAAATGGGAATTCCCAAAATTCACAGCCGGAAAAACAACGGGAATGATGGAATTCACAGGCGGAAAAACAGCGGGAATGACAAAATTCACAGCTGAAAAAACAGCGGGAATGACGGAATTCACAGCCGGAAAAACAGCGGGAATTCACCAAATTCACAGCCGGAAAAACGACGGGAATGACGGAATTCACAGCTGGAAAAACGACGGGAATGACGGAATTTACAGGCAGAAAAACCACCGGAATGCCGCAAATCCCACCCAGAAAAACGTGAATTCCCAAATTCACAGCCAGAAAAACAATGGGAATGCCGGAATTCCCGCTCGGAAAAACAATGGAATTCCCAAAATTCATAACCAGAAAAACAACGGGAATTCCTGAGTTCACAAACGGAAAAAACCACAGGAATACCGGAATTCCCACCCAGAAAAACCGTGGGAATGACGGAATTCACAGCCGGAAAAATGGGAATTCCCCAAATTCCCAGCTGGAAAAACAATGGGAATTCCTGAGTTCCCACCCGGAAAAATGGAATTCCCAAAATTCACAGCCGGAAAAAATGCGGGAATGCCAGAATTCCTAGCCAGAAAAACAACGGGAATGTCGGAATTCACAGCCGGAAAAACAGCAGGAATGCCGGAATTCCCAGCCGGAAAAACACTGGGAATGACGGAATTCACAGACGGAAAAACAACGGGAATGATGGAATTCACAGACGGAAAACCCGCGGGAATGACGGAATTCACAGCCGGAAAAACAACAGGAATTCCCCAAATTCACAGCCAGAAAAACACCGGGAATGACGGAATTCACAGCAGGAAAAACAACGGGAATTCACCAAATTCACAGCCGGGAAAAGCCGTGGGAATGCCGGAATTCACAGACGGAAAAATGGGAATTCCCTAAATTCCCAGCCGGAAAAACAACGGGAATGACGGAATTCACAGCCGGAAAAACAACGGGAATGACGGAATTCCCAGCCGGAAAAACAACGGGAATTCACCAAATTCACAGCCGGAAAAACAACGGGAATGACGGAATTCACAGCCGGAAAAACAACGGGAATGATGGAATTTACAGCCGGAAAAACAACAAGAATGATGGAATTCACAGCCGGAAAAAACGCCGGAATTCCCAAATTCCCAGCCGGAAAAAAAAAAAGCGGGAATTCACCAAATTCACAGCCGGAAAAACAACGGGAATGACGGAATTCACAGCCAGAAGAACAACGGGAATTCCCCAAATTCACAGCTGGAAAAATAATGGGAATTCCCAAAATTCCCAGCCGGAAAAACACCGGGAATTCACCAAATTCACAGACGGAAAAACCGCGGGAATGGGGGAATTCACAGCCGGAAAAATAATGGGAATGATGGAATTCACAGCCGAAAAAACAACGGGAATGACGGAATTCCCAGCCGGAAAAACAACGGGAATGACGGAATTCCCAACTGAAAAAACCATGGGAATGACCGAATTCACAGCCAGAAAAACACCGGGAATGACGGAATTCACAGGTGGAAAATCCACGGGAATGACGGAATTCACAGCCGGAAAAAACACGTGAATTCCCCAAATTCCCAACCGGAAAAACCGCGGGAATGATGGAATTCACAGCTGGAAAAATGATGGGAATTCCCCAAATTCCCAGCTAGAAAAACAACGGGAATTCCTGAGTTCCCGCCCAGAAAAATGGGAATTCCCAAAATGAATTCACAGCCGGAAAAACAGCGGGAATGATGGAATTCACAGCCGGAAAAACACCGGGAATTCCCCAAATTCCCAGCCGGAAAAATAGGAATTCCCCAAATTCCCAGCTAGAAAAACAATGGGAATTCCTGAGTTCCCACCCAGAAAAATGGGAATTCCCAAAATTCACAGCCAAAAAAGCACCGGGAATGACGGAATTCACAGCCGGAAAAATAATGGGAATGACGGAGTTCACAGCCGGAAAAACACCGGGAATGCCGGAATTCACAGCTGGAAAAACAACGGGAATGACGGAATTCACAGCCAGAAAAACAACGGGAATGACGGAATTCACAAACGGGAAAACAACGGGAATTCACCAAATTCACAGCCGGAAAAATAATGGGAATTCCCCAAAATTCCCGCCCGGAAAAATAATGGTAATTTCCCAAATTCCCAGCCAGAAAAACAACGTGAATTCCCCAAATTCCCAGCTAGAAAAACAATGGGAATTCCTGAATTCCCACCCGGAAAAACACTGGGAATTCCTGAGTTCCCACCCAGAAAAAAGGGAATTCCCTGAATTCCCTGCTGGAAACACAACGGGAATGACGGAATTCACAGCCGGAAAAACCGCGGGAACGCTGGAATTCCCGCCCGGAAAAACAATGGGAATCCCCCAAATTCACAGCCAGAAAAACAATGTGAATTCCCAAAATTTCCAGCCGGAAAAACAATAGGAATGCCGGAATTCACAGACGGAAAAACAATGGGAATGACGGAATTCACAGCCGGAAAAACACTGGGATTCCCAAAATTCACAGCCGGAAAAAGAACAGGAATTCCTGAGTTCACAGCCGGAAAAAAACGGGAATGACGGAATTCACAGCCAGAAAAACCACGGGAATGCCAGAATTCACAGCTGGAAAAACAACGGGAATGGCGGAATTCACAACCGGAAAAACAACGGGAATTCCTGAGTTCCCACACAGAAAAACAATGGGAATTTGCAGCCGGAAAAACAATGGGAATTCTTGAATTCCTGCCCAGAAAAACTGCGGGAATTCCCCAAATACACAGCCGGAAAAAACACGGGAATGACGGAATTCACAGCTGGAAAAACACTGGGAATGACGGAATTCACAGACGGAAAAACAATGGGAATGACGGAATTCCCAACAGGAAAAACACCGGGAATGTCGGAATTCACAGCCGGAAAAACAACAGGAATTCCCCAAATTCCCACCTGGAAAAACAACGGGAATTCACACCAGCAAAATGGGAATTGGTGCTGGGAAACAAAAATTCCAGAATTCCCACCCGGAAAAATAGGAACTGGGACTCAGAAAAATGGGAATTCCCAAATTCACACCCGGAAACAACAGGAATTCACACCCAGGAAACTGGGATTTGCACCCGGATAAACAACGGGAATTCACAGCCGGAAAAAAAAACTGGGAATTTTGTGAAAAATTTGGGAAAAACCATCTGGAATTTTGGGAAAAAAGTCAGGAATTTTGGGAATAGCCTTAGGAGATTTGGGAAAAACCCTCTGGAATTTTGGGAAAATTTTGGGAAAAACCCTCTGGAATTGTGGGAAAATTTTGTGAAATTTAAAAAAAAACCCTCAGGAATTTTGGGAAAATTTTGGGAGAACCCCTCCGGGATTTTGGGGAATTTCAAGAGAAAAGCTCGGGAATTTTGTCCAAAAATTTGGGGAATTTTGGGCAAACCCCTGGGAATTTTGGGGAATTTTGGGGAATTTTGGGCAGAACCCCGGGGAATGTTGGGGAATTTGGGAATTTGGGGAATTTTGGGAATTTCAGCACTCACGGGTCGGTCTTGGGGCGCGGTGGCGGCGGCGGATCCGCCCACGGCAGCGGCTCCGGAACGGCCCCGAGGGGCAACGACGGATCTGGAGCTGCGGAGAAAAAAAACCGGAAATTTTGGGAATTTTTTTGGAATTTTTGGGCTTTTTTGGGAATTTTTTGGCAAATTTTTGGCAAATTTTTGGGGTATTTTAAGGATTTTTGAGTAATTTTTCAGAATTTTTAGAGAATTTTTTAGGATTTTAAAAATTTTTAGGCATTTTCTTGGAATTTTGGGAACTTTTCTGGGAATTTTTGGAAAAGACTTTTTGGAATTTTTGAGATATTTGGGGAATTTTTAGGGATTGTGGGAATTTTTTGAGGAGTTTTGGGGAGTTTTTTAATTTTTGGAAATTTTGGGATTTTTTCTGGGAATAATTGAGGAATTTTTAGCATTTCTGGGGAATTTTTGAGGAATTTTGGGGCATTTTTGGGAATTTTGGGGAATTTTTTGGGAATTTTTGGGAATTTTTGGGAATTTTTTGGGGAAATTTTTGGGCAAATTTTTGGAAGTTTTTAACAATTTTTGAGCAAATTTTCAGGATTTTTAGAGATTTTTTTAGGATTTGTAAAAATTTTTAGGCATTTTCTTGGAATTTCGGGAACTTTTTTGGGAATTTTGGGAAAAGATTTTTTGGAATTTCTGAGATATTTGGGGAATTTTTAGGGATTGTGGGAATTTTTTGAGGACTTTTGGGGAGTTTTTTAATTTTTGGAAATTTTGGGATTTTTTCTGGGAATAATTGAGGAATTTTTAGCATTTCTGGGGAATTTTTGAGGAATTTTGGGGCATTTTGGGGAATTTTTGGGGATTTTTTTTGAATTTCTGGGCAAATTTTTGGGATATTTTAACAATTTTTGAGCAATTTTTCAGGATTTTTAGAGAATTTTTTAGGATTTGTAAAAATTTTTAGGCATTTTCATGGAATTTTGGGAGCTTTTTTGGGAATTTTTAAGAAAACTTGGGAATTTCAGGGAATTTTTGGAGGGACTTTCTGGAATTTTTGAGATTTTTAGGGAAATTTATGGGATTTTTGGGAACTTTTTGGGAATTTTGGAGGATTTTTTTAGAAATTTTGGGGAATTATTGGGAAGTTTTGGGAATTTTTCTGGGAATATTTGGGTAATTTTTAAGCATTTCTGGGGAATTTTTGAGGAATTTTGGGATATTTTGGGGAATTTTTTTGGTTTTTGGGAATTTTTGGGAATCGGCTCCAGAAAGGCCCCGAGGGGCAGCGGCGAATCCGGGGCTGCAGAGAAAAAAATGGAAATTTTGGGAATTTTTTGGGAATTTTGGGAATTTTTGGGGAATTTTTTGGCAAATTTTTGGCAAATTTTTGGGGTATTTTAAGGATTTTTGAGCAGTTTTTCAGGATTTTTAGAGAATTTTTTAGGATTTGCAAAAATTTTTAGGCATTTTCTTGGAATTTTGGGAACTTTTTTGGGAATTTTTAGGAAAACTTGGGAATTTTGGGGAATTTTTGGAGGGGACTTTTTTAAATTGTTGAGGTTTTTAGGGAATTTTTAGGGATTTTCGGGAATTTTTTGAGAATTTTTTAGGATTTTTTTAGAAAGTTTGGGGGAATTTTTTGGAAATTTTGAGAATTTTTCTGGGAATTTTATGGAGATTTTTCAGGATTTTTGTGGAATGTTTTGCATTTTTTGGGATTTTGGGGGAATTTTTGGGGTCATTTTGGGGGATTTTAAGTGGATTTCTGGAATTATTTTGGGAATTTTGGGGAATTTTTAAGGCGTTTTGGGGAGTTTTGGGGATTTTTTAGGGATTTTGTGGGATTTCTGTGCAATTTTTCAGGATTTTTTAGGATTTTTAGGGAATTTTAAAGGATTTTGGATATTTTTTTGGGATTTCCCCCCCACCTTCCCTGCCCCCCCTCCGCCCCCGGACTTTTCTGGAATTTTCCCAGAACTTTCAGGAAATTTCTGGATTTTTTTTGGAATTTTGTCCCCCAGAATTTTTTTTTTTTTTTTTTTTTTAAGGTATTTTTTTTTCTGGAATTTTTCCATAATTTTCTGGGAATTTCTTGCATTTTCCGGGTTTTTTTTTCACCCCAGATTTTTTCTGGCATTTTCAAGCCTTTTTTCTAAATATTTTCCAAAATTTTCAAGAATTTTTGAAAATTTCACTGAATTTTCCCGATTTTTTCTGGATTTTTTTAAATTTCCCGCAATTTTTCTGGAATTTCACTAAATTTTATGGAATTTCCCAGAATTCCTGGGATTCCCCCCCCCCCGAAATTTTCTGGTATTTTTCTGATATTTTTAAAGCTTTTTTCCTGAATTTTCCCACATAATTTTCTGGAATTTTTTTTTTAATTTTCATGGAAATTTCCAGAAATTTTCTGGAATTTCATGGAATTTTCTGGAGTTTTCCAGAATTCCTGGGATTATTTTCCCCAATAAATTTTTCTGTCATTTTAAAAGCTTTTTTCTGATTTTATTCCCAGAATTTCCAAGAATTTTCTGGATTTTTTTTAAAAATTATTTCCTGGGATTTTCCAGGAATTTCCAAAATTTCACAGAATTTTCTGGAATTTCTTTGAATTTTCCAGAATTCCTGGAAATTTTTCCCCCCGTCTCAGCATTTTTCTGGTATTTTTTATGAATTTTTTTTCTGAAAATTTTCTGGAAATTTCCAGAATTTTTTCGGATTTTTTTTAAACTTCTCAAAATTTTCCAGAAATTCCTGTAAACTCATGGAATTTTCCAGAAATTTTCTGGATTTTTTAAAAAAACTAATTTCACAGAATTTCCCAGAAATGTTCTGGAATTTCCTGGAATTTCCTGGAATTCTCCAGAATTCCTGAGATTTTTTTTTTTCCCCGCCCCAGCACTTTTCTGGTATTCTAACAACTTTTTCCTGAAATTTTTCTGGAATTTTCCAGAGTTTTTCTGGATTTTTTTTTTCTTTTAAATTTTTTCAAAATTTCCCAGAAATTCCTGTAAACTCATGGAACTTTCCAGAAATTTTCTGGATTTTTTTTTTTTTAAAGTTTCCCAGAATTTTTCCAGAAATTTTCTGTAATTTCATGGAATTTTCTGGGAAATTTTTTTTTAAAGTTTCCCTGAATTTTCCCATAAATTTCCTGTAATTTCATGGAATTTTCTGGATATTTTATTCTGAAAGTTTCCCGGAATTTTTCCAGAAATTTCCTGTAATTTCATGGAATTTTCCAGAATTTTCTGGATTTTTTTAAAAAATAAATTTCTCAGAATTTCCAGAAGTTTTTGGAATTTTTTCGAACTTTCCGGAAAGTTCCAGAATTCCCGGGATTTCTGTACCTGGGGGGGCTCTGCTGGGCTGCAGAGGGGTCGCTCCGGAAATTCCCGAAATTCCCGAAATTCCGGAGTCGCTGCCGGGGATCGGCGCCGCTTTCTCCAGGGCGGGGAGGAGCTGCTCCAGCTGCTCCAGCTCGGCCGAGAACTGCGGGAAAAGAGGGAAAAGTCGGGATAAAACGGGAAAAAAATCCGGGATTAGATGGAGAAAATCACAGAATAAACTGGGAAAAATCCTGGAATAATTCGGGAAAAATTCTGGAATAAACTGGGAAAAAACTTGGGATCAACCAGGAAAAATTCTGGGATTAGCTGGGAAAATCCTGGAATAAATTGGGAAAAATTCTGGAATTAATTGGGAAAATCCTAGAATAAATTGGGAAAAATCTTGGAATGAACCAGGAAAAATTCTGGGATTAGCTTGGAAATTTCCTCGAATAAATTGGGAAAAATTCTGGGATCAGGTGGGAAAAATTTTGGAACCAGTCAGGAAAAATTCTGGGATCAAACAGGGAAAATTCAGGATAAAACAGGAAAAAAATCCGGGATTAGATGGAGAAAATCCCAGAATAAACTGGGAAAAATCCTGGAATAAATCAGGAAAAATTCTGGAATAAACTGGAAAAAATCTTGGGATCAACCAGGAAAAATTCTGGGATTAGCTGGGAAAATCCTGGAATAAATTGGGAAAAATTCTGGGATTAGCTGGGAAAATCCTGGAATAAATTGGGAAAAATTCTGGGATTAACTGGGAAAAAATCTGGAATAAATTGGGAAAAATTCTGGGATCAAGCAGGAAAATTCTGGGATCAGGTGGGAAAAATTTTGGGACCAGTCAGGAAAAATTCTGGGATCAAACAGGGAAAATTCAGGATAAAACAGGAAAAAAATCCGGGATTAGATGGAGAAAATCCCAGAATAAACTGGGAAAAATCCTGGAATAAATCAGGAAAAATTCTGGAATAAACTGGAAAAAATCTTGGGATCAACCAGGAAAAATTCTGGGATTAGCTGGGAAAATCCTGGAATAAACTGGGAAAAATTCTGGAATCAAGCAGGAAAAATTCTGGGATCAGGTGGGAAAAATTTTGGGACCAGTCAGGAAAAATTCTGGGATCAAACAGGGAAAAATCTGGGATCAGCTGGGGAAAATCCCAAAATAAACTGGGAAAAGAAGGAAAAATCCTGGAATGAAGCAGATTCCCAAATTTCCAAAAATTGCCAAGGAAATTCCCAAGGAAAAGAAGGAAAAATCCTGGAATTAACCAGATCCCAAATTCCCGGAATTCCCAAGGAAATTCTTAAGGAAAAAAAAAAGGAAAAATCCTGGATTGAGTCAGAGCCCAAATTCCCAAAATTCCCAAGGAAATTCTAAAAGGAAAAGAAGGAAAAATCCTGGAATTAAGCAGATCCCAAATTCCTGGAATTCCCAAGGAAATGGGATCAAAACTCCACAAATCCCCCCCAAAATATTCCAGAATTCCATGAAAATGGGGTGCACAATCCAGGAAAATGCCCAGAAAATCCTTGGGAATGTCCAAGGAAATCTCGGAATTTTGGGATTGGAGTGGGATTGGATCAAAACTCCACAAATCCCACCCAAAATATTCAGGAATTCCAGAATTCCATGAAAACAGAAGCAAAATCTGGGAAAATTCCAGAAAATCCTTGGGAATGTCCAAGGAAATCTTGGAGCACCTCAAGATTTTGGGATTTGATCAAAATTCCACAAATCCCACCCGAAATATTCCGGAATTCCAGGATTCCATGAAAATGTAAGCAAAATCTGGGAGAATTCCCAGAAAATCCTTCGGAATGTCCAAGAAAATCTTGGAATTTCGGGATTGGAGCGGGATGGGATCGAAGCTCCACAAATCCCACCCAAAATATTCCGGAATTCCAGGATTCCATGAAAATGGAAAGAATAATCTGGGAAAATTCCCAGAAAAACCTTGGGAATGTCCCAGAAAATCTTGGAGCACCTCAAGATGGATCTCCAGGATTTGATGGGAATGGGAAGAAAAATCTGGAAAAATTCCCAGAAAATCCTTGGGAACGTCCAATGAAATCTGGGAATCTTGGGATTGGATCGAAACTCCACAAATCCCACCCAAAACCATTCTGGAATTCCAGAATTCCATGAAAATCAAAGACAAATCTGGGAAAATTCCCAGAAAATCCTTTGGAATGTCCAAGGAAATCTTGGAGCACCTCAAGATGGATCTCCAGAATTCCATGAAAATGGAAAGAATAATCTGGGAGAATTCCCAGAAAATCCTTGGGAACGTCCAAAGAAATCTTGGAATTTTGGGATTGGAGCGGGATTGGATCAAAACTCCACAAATCCCACCCAAAATATTCCAGAATTCCAGAATTCCATGAAAATGGGAAGCAAAATCTGGGAGAATTCCCAGAAAATCCTTGGGAATGTCCAAGGAAATCTTGGAGCACCTCAAGATGGATCTCCAGGATTTGATGGGAATGGGAAGAAAAATCCGGGAAAATTCCCAGAAAATCCTTGGGAACGTCCAAGGAAATCTTGGAATTTTAGGATTGGAGCAGGATTGGATCAAAACTCCACAAATCCCACCGAAAACCATTCCGTAATTCCAGAATTCCATGAAAATGGAAGCAAAATCTGGGAGAATTCCCAGAAAATCCTTGGAATGTCCAAGGAAATCTTGGAGCACCTCAAGATTTTGGGATTTGATCAAAACTCCACAAATCCCACCCGAAATATTCCGGAATTCCAGAATTCCATGAAAATGGAAAGAATAATCTGGGAGAATTCCCAGAAAAACCTTGGGAATGTCCAAGGAAATCTTGGAGCACCTCAAGATTTCGGGATTTAATCAAAACTCCACAAATCCCACCCAAAATATTTTGGAATTCCAGGATTCCATGAAAATCAAAGAAAAATCTGGGAAGATTCCCAGAAAATCCTTGAGAACGTCCAAGGAAATCTTGGAATTTTGGGATTGCAGAGGGATGGGATCGAAACTCCACAAATCCCACCCAAAATATTCCGGAATTCCAGAATTCCATGAAAATGGAAGCAAAATCTGGGAAAATTCCCAGAAAATCCTTGGGAACATCCAACGAAATCTTGGAATCTTGAGATTGGAGTGGGATTGGCTCAAAACCCCACAAATCCCACCCGAAACCATTCCGGAATTCCAGAATTCCCTGAAAATGGAAAAAAAAAATCTGGGGAAATTCCCAGAAAATCCTTGGGAATGTCCCAGAAAATCTTGGAGCACCTCAAGATGGATCTCCAGCATTTGATGGGAATGGGAAGAAAAATCTGGGAGAATTCCCAGAAAATCCTTGGGAATGTCCAAGAAAATCTTGGAGGACCTCAAGATTTTGGGATTTGATCAAAACTCCACAAATCCCACCCAAAAACATTCCAGGATTCCAGAATTCCATGAAAATGGAAAGAAAAATCTGGGAGAATTCCCAGAAAATCCTTGGGAATGTCCAACGAAATCTTGGAATTTCGGGATTGGAGCAGGATTGGATCGAAACTCCACAAATCCCACCCAAATCCTTTCCGGAATTCCAGAATTCCATGAAAATGGAAACAAAATCTGGGAAAATTCCCAGAAAATCCTTGGGAGCGTCCAACGAAATCTTGGAATTTTGGGAATGGAGCAGGATGGGATCAAATATTCCAGAATTCCAGGATTCCATGAAAATGGGAAGCAAAATCTGGGAAAATTCCCAGAAAATCCTTGGGAATGTCCAAGAAAATCTTGGAGCACCTCAAGATGGATCTCCAGGATTTGATGGGAATGCGAAGAAAAATCTGGAAAAAATTCCCAGAAAATCCTTGGGAACGTCCAACAAAATCTTGGAATTTTGGGATTGCAGAGGGATGGGATCGAAACTCCACAAATCCCACCCGAAATATTCCGGAATTCCAGAATTCCATTAAAATGGAAGCAAAATCTGGGAAAATTCCCAGAAAATCCTTGGGAATGTCCAAGGAAATCTTGGAGCACCTCAAGATTTTGGGATTTGATCAAAACTCCACAAATTCCACACAAAATGTTCTGGAATTCCAGAATTCCATGAAAATGTAAGCAAAATCTGGGAGAATTTCCAGAAAATCCTTGGGAACGTCCAAGGAAATCTTGGAATCTTGGATTGGAGCGGGATGGGATCAAATATTCCGGAATTCCAGGATTCCATGAAAATGGAAAGAAAAATCCAGGAAAATTCCCAGAAAATGCTTGGGAATGTCCAAGAAAATCTTGGAGGACCTCAAGATTTTGGGATTTGATCAAAACTCCGCAAATCCAACCCAAAAACATTCCAGGATTCCAGAATTCCATGAAAATGGAAAGAAAAATCCAGGAAAATTCCCAGAAAATCCTTGGGAATGTCCAAGGAAATCTTGGAATTTTGGGATTGGAGCGGGATTGGATCGAAACTCCACAAATCCCACCCAAAACCGTTCCGGAATTCCAGAATTCCAGAATTCCATGGAAATGGAAGCAAAATCCAGGAGAATTCCCAGAAAATCCTTGGGAACATCCAAGGAAATCTTGGAGCACCTCAAGATGGATCTCCAGGATTTGATGGGAATGCGAAGAAAAATCTGGAAAAATTCCCAGAAAATCCTTGGGAACATCCAACAAAATCTTGGAATTTTGGGATTGGATCGAAACTCCACAAATCCCACCCGAAATATTCCGGAATTCCAGGATTCCATGAAAATGGAAAGAAAAATCTGGGAAAATTCCCAGAAAATCCTTGGGAATGTCCAAGGAAATCTTGGAGCACCTCAAGATGGATCTCCAGAATTTGATGGGAATGGGAAGAAAAATCTGGAAAAATTCCCAGAAAATCCTTGGGAACGTCCAACAAAATCTTGGAATTTCGGGATTGGAGCGGGATTGGATCGAAACTCCACAAATCCCACACAAAATATTCTGGAATTCCCGGATTCCATGAAAATGGAAGCAAAATCTGGGAGAATTCCCAGAAAATCCTTGGGAATGTCCAAGGAAATCTTGGAATCTTGGGATTGGAGCGGGATGGGATCAAATATTCCAGAATTCCAGAATTCCATGAAAATGGGAAGCAAAATCTGGGAAAATTCCCACAAAATCCTTGGGAACCTCCAAGGAAATCTTGGAATTTCGGGATTGGATCGAAACTCCACAAATCCCACCCAAAACCATTCCGGAATTCCAGAATTCCACGGAAAACCGAAACCCAAATCCAGGCGAATTCCCATAAATCCTCCCCCACCCACCTGCGCCACCTGCGCCTCCGCCTTGACCTCGTTGCCGGCCGGAATTTTGGGAATCGTTGCCGGGCACGGTTCGGCCGCTTCGCTCTTCTCCGCCTTGACCTTGACGTCGTCCGTCACCGTCGGAATCGTTGTCGGGATCGTTGTCGGAATCGCCGCCGGGATCGTTGTTGGGATCGCCGCCGGCGTTTCCTTCTCGTCCTTGTCCAGGAGGTACCGGAGCAGTTGGTGATCCTTGGATTCCTTCCTCTTGTCGGCCTCGGCGCCGCTCCCGGCGAGGTTCTCCCTCTTCTCCTCGGCGCCGTCGCAGGGGCCGCCCTCCTGCAGCAGCCGGTGCAGGATTTTGTGCCGCTCGGTCAGCGAGCCGTGCGAGGCCGGGCACGGCGCCGGCGCCGCGCCGACGGAACCGCCGGGAACGCCGGCGCACGCCAGGGAATCCTTGGAGGCGGCGGCGTCGGCGGCGTCGGCGCGGTGCCGCAGCTGCGCCTCGGCCGTGCTGGCCAGCAGCTGCACCAAACGGTGGCTCGTGCCTTGCGGGCACTTCCCGGTGTCGCCGATGCCGCCGTCGGAACCGCCCGGAATTCCCGGAATTCCCGTCTCCGGCGTTTTCTCGTTCTCATGGATGACCTCACCCAACACGGTTGAGATTTCCTTGGAGTCCTTCAGTTCGGTTTTGCCGGCGCGACCGGGAGAGTTTTGCCTCAGGAACGCCGGATTGGCCGGAGGATCGGCGCCGGGGAAAGGTCGGGAATTGCCGGATGAGGACGGGGAGAGCGCGGACGGAGGGAAGGAATTCCCGGCGGGAGCGCGGCACCGCGGGATGGACGCCGGGCTGCCGCGGTGCCGCGGCGACGGGAACGGCGGCGGCGCCATCCCGGGGCTGCCGTGGGACAGGGGGTGGGGATTGGCGGGGGTTTGGCTTAAGGCAACGGTGGATCCCGGAGGATTCCCGAAATTCCCGTTGGGCGCTGTTCCCGGTGCCGGGGAAACGTTGGGATTCACCCTGGGAAGGGCCGGGCCCGGAGCGGGGCTGTCCTGGGGGGAGAGAATTCCGTGATCCCTGCGGGGGAAAAAAACATGGAAAAATCTTTTTTTTCCCGGTTTTTGGTGGTTTTGAATTCTAAAAACTCCTTTCTTGGAATTCTGGATATTCCAACTCTTTTTCTGGGTCTGGAATTCCCAAATTCTGCTCCAAGGGCAGGAAGGAATCCAAAAATTCCCCAGCACCAAACCCAAAAATTCCCTGCTTGGAATTCCAGCTGCTCCGAGCCTTTTTCCAGGTCGGGAATTCCCAAATTCTGCTCCACGGGCAGCAGGAATCCCAAAAATTCCCTACTCCAAATTCCGGATCCTCCGACCCTTTTTCCGGGTCAGGAATTCCCGAATTCTACTCCAAGGGCAGGAAGGATCCCAAAAATTCCCTGCTCGGAATTCTGACTGGAAGGAGGAATCCCAAAAACTCCCTGCTTGGAATTCTGGGTTTTCTGACCCTTTTTTTGAGTCTGGAATTCCCAAATTCTGCTCCACCAGCAGCATCAGGAATCCCAAAAATTCCCTGCTTGGAATTCTGGATGTTCTGACCCTTTTTCCAGGCCTGGAATTCCCAAATTCTGCTCCACCAGCAGCACCAATCCCAAAAGCTCCTTGCCTGGAATTCTGGATGTTCCGACCCCTTTTCCATGCCGGGAATTCCCAAATTCTGCTCCACCAGCAGCAGGAATCCCAAAAATTCCTTGCCTGCAATTCTGGATATTCCAACTCTTTTTCTGGGTCTGGAATTCCCAGATCCTGCTCCAAGGGCAGGAAGGATCCCAAAAATTCCCTGCTCGGAATTCTGACTGGAAGGAGGAATCCCAAAAATTCCTTGCCTGGAATTTTGGCTGCCCCGACCCTTTTTCCGAGTCTGGAATTCCCAAATTCTGCTCCACCACCAGCATCAGGAATCCCAAGAATTCCCTGCTTGGAATTCCGGATTTTCTGACCCTTTTTTTGAGTCTGGAATTCCCAAATGCTGCTCCACCAGCAGCACAAATCCCAAAAATTCCTTGCCTGGAATTCTGGACATTCCAACTCTTTTTCTGGGTCTGGAATTCCCAGATCCTGCTCCAAGGGCAGGAAGGATCCCAAAAATTCCCTGCTTGGAATTCTGGATGTTCTGACCCTTTTGTCCAGGTCTGGAATTCCCAAATTCTTCTACACCAGGAGCAGGAATCCCAAAAATTCCCTGCCTGGAATTTTGGCTGCTCCGACCCTTTTTCCGGGTCGGGAATTCCCAGATCCTGCTCCACCAGCAGCAGGAATCCCAAAAATTCCCTGCTTGGAATTCTGGATGTTCCGACCCCTTTTCCAGGCCAGGAATTCCCAAATTCTGCTCCATCAGAGCCAATCCTAATCCTAATTCCAATCCCAGACATAATCCAAATCCCATTGCAAATCCTATTCCAAATCGCAAATAAAATCCCAATTCCAATTCTAATCCCAATCCTGATTCCAATTCCAATCGCAATCCAAATCCTACATTAAATCCCAATCCTGATCCTGATCCCAATCCCAATTCCAGACCTAACCCCAATCCATATCCCAATGCTAATCCTAATTCCAGTCCTAATCCAAATTCCAATCTCAATCCAAATCCCAATCCTCATGCAAATCCCAATTCCAATTCCAATTCCAATCGCAATCCAAATCCTAATTTCAATCCCAATCCTGATCCTGATCCCAATCCTGAAACCAATTCCAATCCTAATACCAATTCCAATTCCAGTCCCAATCCTAATCCAGTCCTAATCCTAATTCCTATCCAAACCCCAATCCCAATCCCGATGCCAATCCTAATTCCAATCCCAATCCCAAATCTAATCCCAATTCCAATTCTAATCCCAATCTCGATTTCAATTCCAATCGCAATCCAAATCCTACTTTAAATCCCAATCCTGATCCTGATCCTGATCCCAATCCCAGACCTAACCCCAATCCAAATCCCAATGCTAATCCTAATTCCAGTCCTAATCCGAATTCCAATCCCAGTCACAATCCCAATCCAAATCCCAATCCAAATCCCAATCCCAATTCTAAATCCCAATCCCAATCCCAAACCTCAATCCCAATCCCAATCCCAGTTCCAAATCGAATTCCCAATCCCAATCCCAATCCCAATCCCAATCCCAATCCCATTCCAAATCCCAACCCAGCGCTGAGAACCCACCCAATGCCAGGATGAGCTCGAGGTCGAATTTCCAACAAAAAATTCCTCACCCAGAGTCTGAAAACCCCTGGAAAAATTCTCCTTAGGAAAAACCAAAATTCCCAAAACCTCCAAAATTCCGGGAAAAACTCAAAAAAACGGGAAAAAAAACCCCAAAAATCTGGAAAAACCCAGAGCAGGATCAACGCCTGGAGGTTCATCCCTGCTCCGTGTGGGTGATTCCCAGCCCCGCTGCCGGCCGGAATTCTGCGGAATTCCATGGAATTCTGCGGGGATCGACGGAATTCTGTGGAATTCCGTGGAATTCCGAGGAATTCCGCGGGAATTGCGGTACCTGTCGATGATGTGGATGCCCATGATGAAGGGCTGCAGCTCCGGGCTGGAGGGGTAGCAGAGCTTGCACTTGGTGTGGGCGCTCAGCACGGAGCCGTCGCTCAGCGTGAAGCGGTACGAGGGGCTGAAGGCCGTGCCCCGCGTCATCACTGCGGGGAAAAACACGGAATTCCAGGGAAAAATGGGGGAAAATCCCAAAAATCCCCGAGAAAATCCCGTTAAAATCGTAAAAATGGTGATAGGATGGAGGGAGATCCGGCACGGAGCCGGCGTGACAACGATGAGGGGTTGAGCGTGGAGCTGGGATCATCAGTGAGGGGAAAAATACCTAAATTCCTGGAAAATCCTGGGAAAAATCATGGAAAATCCTGAGAAAATCCCAAAAACCCCAATCCAAAGGAAATTAATCCCAAAAATTCCCAGCAGGACCCAGGGAGGATCAGGGCGGAGCCGTCGCTCAGTGTGAGGGGATGAGGAGCTGAGAGTGGAGCCACGGTCATCACAGAAGGGAAAAATACCTGAATTCCAGGAAAATCCCAGAAAAATCACGGAAAATCCTGAGAAAACCCAAAAAAATCTCAATCCAAACCCAAAAACCCCAATCCAATGGAAATCAGATCCCAAAAATCCCCAACAGGGCACAGGGAGGATCAGCACGGAGCCGTCGCTCAGCGTGAAGCGGTACGAGGGGCTGAAGGCCGTGCCCCGCGTCATCACTGCGGGGGAAAACACGGAATTCCAGGGGAAAATGGGGGAAAATCCCAAAAATACCCGAGAAAATCCCGTTAAAATCCTAAAAATGGCGATAGGATGGAGGGGGATCCGGCACGGAGCCGGCGTGACAACGATGAGGGGTTGAGCGTGGAGCTGGGGTCATCAGTGAGGGGAAAAACACCTTAATTTGAGGAAAATCCTGGAAAAATCCTGAGCAAATCCCGAAAAAATCCTGAGAAAATCTCAAAAACCCCAATCCAGAGGAAATCAACCCCAAAAATTCCCAGCAGGACCCAGGCAGGACCAGCCTGGAACCTTCTCTCAGCGTGAACCCAGTGAGGGCCTCAAGGCAATGCTGGGATTTTCACTGAGGGAAAAACCTGGAATTCCAGGAAAAACCTGGAAAAATCCTGAGCAAATCCTGAAAAAATCCTGAGAAAATCCCAAAAACCCCAATCCAAAGGAAATGAATCCCAAAAATTCCCAACAGGATCCAGGGAGGATCAGGGCGGAGCCGTTGCTCAGCGTGAGGGGATGAGGGGCTGAGGGTGGAGATGGGGTCATCACTGAGGGGAAAAACACCTAAATTCCGGGAAAATCCTGGAAAAATCATGGAAAATCCTGAGAAAACCCAAAAAAATCTCAATCTAATCCCAAAAACCCCAATCCAAAGGAAAGTAATCCCAAAAATTCCCAGCAGCACCCAGGGAGGATCAGGGCGGAGCCGTCGCTCAGCGAGAAGCGGTACGAGGGGCTGAAGGCCGTGCCCCGCGTCATCACTGCGGGGAAAAACACGGAATTCCAGGGGAAAATGTGGGAAAATCCCAAAAATCCCCGAGAAAATCCCGTTAAAATCCTAAAAATGGCGATAGGATGGAGGGACATCCGGCACGGAGCCGGCGTGAAGACGATGAGGGGTTGAGCGCGGAGCTGGGATCATCAGTGAGGGGAAAAACACCTAAATTCCATGAAAATCCTGGAAAAATCCTGAGCAAATCCTGAAAAAATCCTGAGAAAATCCCAAAAACCCCAATCCAATGGAAATCAATCCCAAAAATTCCCAACAGGACCCAGGGAGGATCAGGGCGAAGCCGTCACTCAGCGTGAAGGGGATGAGGGGCTGTGGGTGGAGATGGGGTCATCACTGAGGAAAAACCTGGAATTCCAGGAAAATCCTGGGAAAATCCTAATCAAATCCTGAAAAAATCCTGAGAAAATCCCAAAAAACCCAATCCAGAGGAAATCAACACCAAAAATTCCCAGCAGGACCCAGGGAGGACCAGCCTGGAACCTTCGCTCAGCATGAACCCAGTGAGGGCCTCAAGGCAATGCCGGGGATTTTCACTGAGTGGAAAAACCTGGAATTCCAGGAAAATCCTGGAAAAATCCTGAGCAAGTCCTGAAAAAATCCTGAGAAAATCCCAAAACCCCCAATCCAAAGGAAATGAATCCCAAAAATTCCCAGCAGGACCCAGGGAGGACCAGCCTGGAACCTTCCCTCAGCGTGAACCCAGTGAGGGGCTCAAGGCAACGTCGGGATTTTCACTGAGTGGAAAAACCTGGAATTCCAGGAAAATCCTGGAAAAATCTTGAGCAAATCCTGAAAAAATCCTGAGAAAATCCCAAAATCCCCAATCCAATGGAAATCAACCCCAAAAATTCCCAGCAGGACCAGCCTGGAACCTTCGCTCAGCCTGAAGCTGGCGAGGTGCTCGCCACCGCCCTGAGGGGATAAAACCTCTGAATTCCAAGAAAAACCATGGAAAAACCCCACTAAAATCCCTCAAAATCCCCAAAACCTCACCGCCACCCCAAAAACCAAAAATCCTCCCCTCACCACCTCCAAAAAAAACCCCCAAAAAATTAAAAAACCTAAAAAACCCAAATCCCGCCAAAACCGCGCCGCCATTTTGTCCTGCGCTTCCCAACCCGCCTCGGGCGCGATAAAAACGCCCCAAATTCGGGGATTTTTTAAATTTTTTGTCCCAAATTTTTCCGGGATGAGATTCCCGCGGGGAAAAGGGAGCGGTACCTTCCTGGAAGAGCTGCTTGGCGTAGGAGGGCTCGCGGCCCTGGGGCTGGAAGAAGGCGTAGATGCATTTCCGCACCAGATCCTCCCAGCCCGTCCGGCCCGCGGCGCGCAGCGAGCTGGTGTCGATGGAGATGATTTTTCCTGGGAAAAGGCAGGAAAAAAAATGGGAATTCTTTCGGGAAGTTGGGAGTGGTCTCCTGAGTTTTATCCCAAAGCGTTCCGGGGTTCTCGGATGGAGGGTGGGTCAAAATCCGGCGCCAAAAGGGGTTTTTGTGGGATTTGGGGGTGGGAAAGGGAAGGGTGATCCCAAAGATTCCATGGGAATTCCTAAAATTCCTTCCCAGAAAAGAGTCAGAATGGGGATGGATCCAATCCAGGCTGGGAGAGCTGGGAATGGAGAAAATTCCCTGGAAAAAGGGAAGGAATTTGGGAAGGAATTTGGGATTTGGGAAGGAATTTCCAGCCGGGCTGGAACTCCCAAGGAATCCCTGGGAATGTCCAAGGAAAGGTTGGATCCACCTGGAATTTGGGGTTGGAATGGGATGGGATTGAAGCTCCGGGGATCCCATCCCAAACCATTCCGGGATTCCGGGATCCAGGACACCCAGGATCCATCCCAAGAGGGATTTTTATGGAATTTAGAGATGGGAAAGGGAAATGAGATCCCAAAGATTCCCAGGAAATTCCAAAAATTCCTTCCCAGAAAAGAGTGAGGATGGGGATGGATCCAATGCCAGGCTGGGAATGGAGAAAATTCCATGGAAAATGGGAGGAATTTGGGAAGGAATTTGGGAAGGAATTCCCAGCCGGGCTGGAATTCCCAAGGAATTCCTGGGAGTGTCCAAGGAAAGGTTGGATCCACCTGGAATTTGGGATTGGAATGGAATGGGATGGGATTGAAGCTCCAGGAATCCCAAGCCAAACCATTCCGGGATTCTGGGATCCAGGACACTCAGGATCCATCCCGAGGGATTTTTGTGGGATTTGGGGATGGGAAAGGGAAGGGAGATCCCAAAGATTCCATGGGAATTCCTAAAATTCCTTTCCAGAAAAGAGTCAGGATGGGGATGGATCCAATCCAGGCTGGGAGAGCTGGGAATGGAGAAAATTCCCTGGAAAAAGGGGAGGAATTTGGGAAGGAATTCCCAGCCGGGCTGGAATTCCCAAGGAATTCCCGGGAGTGTCCAAGGAAAGGTCAGAGCACCCTGGAATTTGGGGTCGGAATGGAATGGGATTGAAGCTCCATGGATCCCATCCCAAACCATTCCGGGATTTTGGGATTCAGGACACTCAGGATCCATCCTGAGGGATTTTGATGGAATTTGGGGGTGGGAAAGGGAAGGGAGATCCCTGAGATTCCACAGAAAAATCCTGAAATTCCTTCCCGGAGAGGAGTCAGGATGGGGATGGATCCAATCCAGGCTGGGAATGGAGGGAATTCCATGGAAAATGGGAGGAATTTGGGAAGGAATTCCTAGCTGGGCTGGAATTCCCAGAGAATCTCCGGGAATTTCCAAGGAAAAGCTGGAAAACCCCGTGGGGTTGGAATGGGATGGGATTGAAGCTCCAGGGATCCCATCCCAAACCATCCCGGGATTCCGGGATCCAGGACACTCAGGATCCATCCCAAGAGGGATTTTTGTGGAATTTGGGATGGAAAGGGAAGGAATTCCCGGGAATGTTTGGGATGTACCTGTGGTGTCCTGCTTGGTGACGAAGGACTCGGCCGGGGCCGGGGCCGGGGTCGGGCGCGGCAGCCTCCGGGCGATGCAGATCAGGCAGGACTGGAAATCTGGGAAAAACACCGGGAAAAACACCGGGAATGCCGGAACCGTCCCGGCTTCCCGTTCCAATCTCGCTCCTGGATTTAATTCCCTGAAATTCCCCGAAATTCCCTGGGAAAAGCTTGGCGGGGTTAACTGGGGAGGGTTCCGGGATGTGGCGGAGTTGGGGTAACGGAATTCCGGGTTGGAGCGGGGATTGTTGGGATTTGGGCCTAAAACATCGGGATTGGGCCCTTCTGGGTGGGAATTGGGGGATTCATCCCGGGAATGTGGTGGGAAAAGATGGATGGGACAGGGAAAAGGGGACTCGGAGTGGGAGAGCGACAGGGACCCGGCTCTGATCCCAATCCCAGTCCCAATCCCAATCCCAATCCCTTCCTAATCCTGCACCTTATCCCATCCCAATCCCAATCCCATCCTATCCCATCCCAATCCTGCACTGCATTCCCAAACCCCATCCCATCCTGTCCAATCCCAATCCTGCATTCCCATCCCATCCCAATCACAATCCCAATCTTGTATTCCCATCCCAATCCCAATCCCATCCCAATCCCCTCCTAATCTTGCATTTTATCCCATCCCAATCCTAATTCCATCCCATCCCAATCCTGCACTGCATTCCCATCCTAATCCCATCCCAATCCCAATCCAAACCTCAATCCCAATCCAAACCCCAATCCCAATCCTGCATCCCAATCCCAATCCCAATCCCAATCCCAATCCCAATCCCAATTCCATTCCCAATTCTCATCCATCCAACCCCAATCCCAACCCCAATCCCAACCCCAACTCCAATCCCAACCCCAATCCCAATCCCAACTCCAACTCCAATCCCAATCCCAATTCAAGCCATATTTTCTTCCATCCAACTCCAACCCCAACCCCATCCCAACCTTCCTCCCAATCCCAATCCCAATCCCAATCCCAATTCCAACTCCAATCCCAATCTGAATCCCAAACCCAACTCCAATCCCAATCCCAATCCCAACCCAAATTCTCATCCATCCAACTCAAACCCCAACCCCAACCCCAACTCCAAATCCAAATCCAAATCTAAATTTTCTTCCATCCAACCCCAACCCCAATCCCAACCCCAACTCCAATCTCAACTCCAATCCCAACCCCAATCCCAACCCAAATTCTCTCCCATCCAACTCAAACCCCAACCCCAATCCCAACCCCAACTCCAATGCCAACCTCAATCCCAACCGAAATTCTCTCCCATCCAACTCAAACCCCAACCCCATCCCAACCCCCATCCCAATCCCAATTCAAGACAAATTCTCTTCCATCCAATCCCAAACCCAATCCTGATCGCAATCCCAATCCCAACCCCAATCCCAATTCCAATGCCAATCCCAATCCCAAGACGAATTCTCTTCCATCCAACCCCAAACCTGATCCCAATCCCAATCCCAATCCCAATCCCAATCCCAAGAGAAATTCTCTTCCATGCAACTCCAACCTCAACCCCAACACCAATCCCAATCCCAACCCCAACTCCAATCCCAATCCCGATCCCAACCCCCATCCCAATCCCAATCCCAATCCCAAGACAAATTCTCTTCCATCCAATCCCAATCCCAACTCCAATCCCAACCCCCATCCCAATTCTCATCCATCCAACCCCGATCCCAACCCCGATCCCACCCCGATCCCAACCCAAATTCTCTTCCATCCAACCCCAATTCCAACCCCATCCCAACCCCCAACCCCAACCCCAACCCCATCCCAACCCCAATCCCAACCCCAACCCCAAACCCAACCCCAACTCCAATTCTATTCCCAATCCCAACCCAAATTATCTTCCATTGAACTCCAACCCCAACCCCAACTCCAAATCCAAATCAAAATCTAAATTCTCTTCCATCCAACCCCAACCCCAACCCCAAATCCAAATCCAAATGCAAATCCAAATCCAAATTCTCTTCCATCCAACCCCAACCCCAATCCCAACCCCATCCCAACCCCCATCCAAATTCCAATTCAAGCCAAATACTCTTCCATCCAATCCCAATCCCAACCCCAACTCCAATCCCAATCCCAATCCCAATTCAAGCCAAATTCTCATCCATCCAACCCCAAATCCGATCCCAATCGCAACCCCAACTCCAATCCTAACCCCAATCCCAACCCAAATTCTCTTCCATCCAACCCCAACCCCAATCCCATCCCAACCCCAACTCCAACTCCAATCCCAATCCCAATTCAAGCCAAATTCTCTTCCATGCAACTCCAACCCCAACCCAAAATCCAAATCCAAATCCAAATCCAAATCCAAATTCAAATCCAAGTCCAAATCCCAATTCTCATCCATCCAACCCCGATCCCGACCCCGATCCCGATCCCGGCGCCGGTGCCGCACCCTCTCCCTCCTCCTGGAAGGCGCGTGGTTGGCTGACGGCGAAGCACTGCATGGCCTCGTAGCGCTGCCGCGGCTCCGCCGGCTCCGCGCCCGCCTCCTCCGGCGCCCGCACCAGCATCCGGCACTGGAAGGTGCGGCTGCCGCGCCGCGCCGGCTCCTGCGGCCACGGCACCCCGTTCACTGGGAAAACATGGAAAAATGGGAATTAGGGACGTGGAATTCCCAAAAATCCCCGGGATTTGGGGTTCCGCACCAGCATCCGGCACTGGAAGGTGCGGCTGCCGCGCCGCGCTGGCTCCTGCGGCCACGGCACCCCGTTCACTGGGAAAAACATGAAAAATGGGAGAAAAATGGGAATTAGGGACGTGGGAGTGATCCCAGATCTTGGAATTCCCAAAAATCCCCGGGATTTTGGGTTCCGCACCGGCATCTGGCACTGGAAGGGGATCGTTGGGAAAAAATGGGAATTAGGTACATGGAATTCCCAAAAATCCCTGGGATTTTGGGTTTCACACCAGCATCCGGCACTGGAAGGGGATCGTTGGGAAAAAATGGGAATTAGGGACGTGAAATTCCCAAAAATCCCCGGGATTGGGGTTCCGCACCAGCATCCGGCACTGGAAGGAGATCGTTGGGAAAAATGGGGAAAAAATGGGAATTAGGGATGTGAAATTCCCAAAAATCCCCGGGATTTGGGGTTCCGCATCGGCATCCAGCACTGGAAGGGGATCGTTGGGAAAAAATTGGAATTAGGGACATGGAATTCCCAAAAATCCCCGGGATTTGGATTCCGCACCAGCATCCGGCACTGGAAGAGGATCGTTGGGAAAAAAATGGGAAAAAAATGGGAATTAGGGACGTGAAATTCCCAAAACTCCCCGGGATTTGGGTTCCACACCGGCATCTGGCACTGGAAGGGGATCGTTGGGAAAAATGGGAAAAAATGGGAATTAGGGATGTGAAATTCCCAAAAATCCCCGGGATTTTGGGGTTCCGCACCAGCATCCGGCACTGGAAGGGGATCGTTTGAAAAAATGGGAAAAAATGGGAATTAGGGACGAGAAATTCCCAAAAATCCCCGGGATTTTGGGTTCCGCACCAGTATCTGGCACTGGAAGGGGATCGCTGGGAAAAATGGGAAAAAAACGGGAATGTGGGACGTGGAATTCCCAAAAATCCCCGGGATTTTGGGTTCCGCACCGGCATCCGGCACTGGAAGGAGATCGTTGGGAAAAATGGGAATTAGGGACGTGAAATTCCCAAAAATCCCCGGGATTTTGGGTTTCCCAGCAGCATCCGGCACTGGAAGGGCATCGTTGGGAAAAATGGGAAAAAAATGGAATTAGGGACATGGAATTCCCAAAAATCCCCGGGATTTTGGATTCCCCACCAGCATCCGGCACTGGAAGGGGATTGTTGGGAAAAATGGGAAAAAATGGGAAAAAATGGGAAAAAAATGGGAATTAGGGACGTGAAATTCCCAAAAATCCCCGGGATTTGGGGTTCTGCACCAGCATCCGGCACTGGAAGGGGATCGTTGGGAAAAATGGGGAAAAAATGGGAATTAGGGACGTGAAATTCCCAAAAATCCCCGGGATTTTGGGTTTCACACCAGCATCCGGCGCTGGAGGGGGATTGTTGGGAAAAATGGGAAAAAATGGGAATTAGGGACGTGGAATTCCCAAAAATCCCCGGGATTTGGGGTTCCCCACCAGCATCCGGCACTGGAAGGGGATCATTGGGAAAAATGGAAAAAAAAATGGGAATTCAGGACGCAAAATTCCCAAAAATCCCCGGGATTTGGGTTTCACACCAGCATCCGGTACTGGAAGGGGATCGTTGGGAAAAATGGTATAAAAATGGGAATTAGGAGCACGGAATTCCCAAAAAATCCCCGGGATTTGGGGTTTCACACCAGCATCCGGCACTGGAAGGTGTCACTGGGAAAAATGGGAAAAAATGGGAATTAGGGACAAGGAATTCCCAAAAATCCCCAGGATTTTGGGTTTCACACCGGCATCCGGCAATGGAATGGGATCGTTGGGAAAAATGGGAAAAAAATGGGAATTTGGGACGTGAAATTCCCAAAAATCCCCGGGATTTTGGATTCCGCACCAGCATCCGGCACTGGAAGGGGCTCATTGGGAAAAACATGGGAAAAAATGGGAATTAGGGACATGGAATTCCCAAAAATCCCCGGGATTTGGGGTTCCGCACCAGCATCCGGCACTGGAAGGGGATCGTTGGGAAAAACATGGAAAAATGGGAATTAGGGACGTGAAATTCCCAAAAATCCCCGGGATTTGGGTTTCACACCAGCATCCGGTACTGGAAAGAGATCGTTGGGAAAAATGGGATAAAAATGGGAATTAGGAGCACGGAATTCCCAAAAAATCCCCGGGATTTGGGGTTTCACACCAGCATCCGGCACTGGAAGGTGTCACTGGGAAAAATGGGAAAAAATGGGAATTAGGGACAAGGAATTCCCAAAAATCCCCAGGATTTTGGGTTTCACACCGGCATCCGGCAATGGAATGGGATCGTTGGGAAAAATGGGAAAAATGGGAATTAGGGACGTGGAATTCCCAAAAATCCCCGGGATTTTGGGTTTCACACCGGCATCCGGCACTGGAAGGGGATCGTTGGGAAAAATGGGAAAAAAATGGGAATTTGGGATGTGAAATTCCCAAAAATCCCCGGGATTTTGGATTCCGCACCAGCATCCGGCACTGGAAGGGGCTCATTGGGAAAAACATGGGAAAAAATGGGAATTAGGGACATGGAATTCCCAAAAATCCCCGGGATTTGGGGTTCCGCACCAGCATCCGGCACTGGAAGGGGATCGTTGGGAAAAATGGGAAAAAAATGGGAATTAGGGACGTGAAATTCCCAAAAATCCCCGGGATTTTGGGTTCTGCACCGGCATCCGGCACTGGGAAAAACGGGATAAAAAACTGGAATTAGGGACATGGGAGTGATCCCAAATAATGGAATTGTGGAATTCCCAAAAATCCCCGAGCGGCCACTAAAATAAATATGAATATAAATACAGAAATAAAAATAAAAATGGAATTGGAATAAAAATAATTATAAAATGAATGCTGAAGATGGAAATAAAAATAAAAATATGAATAGAAGTAAAAATAAAAATAAACACGAACATAAATATAAAATAAACATAAATCCAACATAAAGTAACACATGAAATAAAACAAAAAAATAAAATGTGATTAAACAATATAAAAATAAACATAAAAACAAAAAACAAATATAAAAATAAAACAAAAAGTACAGAAACAAAAATAAAAATGAAATAGAAAATAAAAACAAAAATTACAATGAAAATGAACTAAAACTGAAAATAACAAAACTAAAACAAAATATAATAAAAATGAAAATTAAAATGAAAAATGAAAATAAAACTAAGAAAAACAATTAAAATGAAAATGAAACTAAAACTAAAAATGCAAATAAAAAATGAAAATAAAAAATGAAAATTAAACTAAAACTAAAAATAACAATAAAAACCTAACCAAGAACAATAAAAATGAAAATAAAAAATGGAAATGAAACTAGAACCAAAAATAACAAAAAAATCAAAAATTAAAATAAAAACGAAAATCAGAACTGAAACTAAAACTAAAACTAACAAAAGGAAAATGAAAAAAAAAAAGAACAAAACAAAACCAAAAATAACAACTAAAAACGAAAATAAAAATAAAAACTGAAACTGAAACTAAAACTAAAAATAACAATAAAAGCAAAACCAAAAATAACAACAAAAATGAAAATAAAATAAAAATGAAAGTAAAACTAAAAATACCATTAAAAAACCCAAAAATAACAACAGATACCAAAATTAAAATAAAACATGAAATTGAAATTAAAACTAAAACTAAGAATAAAACCAAACCAAAATCAACAATAGAAATAAAAATGAAAGTTAAAGATTAAAAATTAAAATGAATCTAGATCTATAACTAAAAATACCATAAAACCAATACCAAAAACAATTAAAATGAAAATGAAAATAAAAAATGAAAATGGAACTAAAAATAACAATAAAACCATACCAGAAACAACAATAAAAACAAAACTGAAAATAAAACATTAAAATTAAAATGAAACTAAAAATAGCAATAAAAACGAAAATTAAAATAAAAAATGAAAATGAAACGGAAACTAAAAATACCTATAAAAAGGAAAATGAAAATAAAAAATTAAAATTAAAAAAATGAAAATGAAAATAGAAACTAAAAATAGCAACAAAAATGAAAATAAAAATAAAAACAAAAGAAAACTAAAACTAAGAATAAAAATGAAAATAAAGAAAATGAAACTAAAAAAAGCAATTAAAATGAAAATAAAAAAATGAAAGAAAACTAAAAATACCAAAAAAACTAAAAATGAAAATAAAAAATGAAACTGAAAATAGCAATTAAAATTAAATGTAAAAAAAAGAAAAAAACTAAAATTAACAATAAAAAACAAAAATGAAAAAATGAAAATAAAGAAAATGAAATTAAATATAAAAATAAAAAATAAAGAAAATTAAAAATAACCATAAAAATGAAAGAAAACTAAAAATAGCAATCAAAACTAAAATGAAAACAAAAAATTAAAATAAAAAAATGAAAATAGAAAAGAAACTAAAAAGAGCAATATAAACGAAAATAAAAATAAAAAAGGAAGAAAACTAAAAATGAAAATTAAAATAAAAAATTAAAATAAAGAACTGAAACTGAAAAAAGCAGCTAAAATGAAAATTAAAAAAATGAAAAAAACTAAAACTAACAATAAAAATGAAAATTAAAAAATGAAAATAAAGAAAATTAACTACAAACAGCAATCAAAACGAAAATAAAAATAAAAAATGAAACTAAAAATAGCAATAAAAAGAAAAATGAAAATAAAAAAAGAAACTAAATATAGCAATAATAATCAAAATGAAAATAAAAAAGAAAATAAAAATAGCAATAAAAATGAAAATAAAAATAAAAAATGAAACATAAAAAAGCGAAACGAAAAATAGCAATAAAAATAAAAATAAAAAACTAAAAGAAAACTAAAACTAACCATAAAAATAAAAATAAAACATGAAAACATAAACGAAACTAAAACCAAAAAACCCCAATAAAACCAAAACCAAAACCACCGATAAAACCAAACCAAAACCACTAATAAAACCAATCTAAAAACCCTAAAACACCCCCCCAAAACCCCAAAAAACGCCCGAAAATCCGAATTTTGGCGTACCCAGGGCCTTGGGCAGGAGGCTGCGCACGAACTGGGCGTGGTCGCCGACGTGCAGCACGCTGTACACGCTGGAGTTCATCAGCTCCTCCTGCCCGTAGCCCAGGTACCCCCGCACGTTCTCCGACACGAACACGATCCGCCCCTCCCGGTTCACCACGAAGAAAAAGCCGTCCAGAGCCTGGAAAAAGGGAAAAACGGGAAAAAATTCAGAGGTTTTAGGTCAAAACGGGAAAAAACGGGAAAAAATTCCGAGATTTTAGGTCGAAACGGGATGAAAATATGAGATTTTTAGACCGACTTATCGCCAAAACAAGATGGAAACACAAGGTTTGATTTCTAATATGATGAAACTGGGAAAGAAACAGGAAAAAAGCCGAGGTTTTATCTCAGTAATCCCAAAATTAGGAAAAATTCCAAGATTTTCTCCCAAATATCCTGAAAACGGGGAAAAAACGGGAAGAAATTCCAAGGGTTAGGCCAAATATCCGTCACGTTCTCCGACACGAACGCGAACCGCCCCTCACGGTTCACCACGAAGAAAAAGCCGTCCAGCGCCTGGAAAAGGGAAAAAACGGGAAAAAATTATGAGATTTTAGGCCGAAACGGGGAAAAATTCCAAGGTTTTAGGCCGAAACGGGAAGAAAATACGAGATTTTTAGACCAACTTATCGCTGAAATAAGAAGGAAACACAAGGTTTGATTTCTAATATGATGAAACTGGGAAAGAAACGGCAAAAAAGCCAAGGTTTTATCTGTTTTATCTCAAATATCACAAAATGGGAAAGAATTCCGAGATTTTAGCCTAAAATGGGGAAAAAAACGGGAAGAAATTCCAAGGGTTTAGCCCAAATATCCGGTGACGTTCTCCGACACGAACATGAACCGGCCCTCGCGGTTCACCACGAAGAAAAAGCCGTCCAGCGCCAGGAAAAACGGGAAAAAAACGGGAAAAAATTCCATGATTTTAGGTCAGAACGGGAAAAAATGGGAAAAAACTCCGAGATTTTAGGTCGAAATGGGAAGAAATTGCGAGATTTTTAGACCAATTTATACTCAAAAGAAGAAGGAAACACAAGGTTTGATCTCAAATATCCTAAAATGGGAAAGAATTCCAAGGTTTTATCTCAGATATCTCAAAAACCAGAAAAAATTCCAAGGTTTTATCTCAAATATCACAAAAATGGGAAAAAATTCCCAGGTTTTAGCCCAAATATCCGGTGACGTTCTCTGATACGAACGCAATCCGGGCCTCGCGGTTCCCCACGAAGAAAAATCCGTCCAGGGACGCAAACAGGAAGAAATTCCAAGGTTTTATCCCAAATATCCCAAAAATGGGAAAGAATTCCAAGGTTTTATATCAACTACCATGAAATTTGGAAAGAATTCCAAGACTTTAGCCCAAATATCCCCCAAAACTGGAAGAAATTCCAAGGTTTTATCTCAAATCTCACGAAAATGGAAAAGAATTCCAAGGTTTTAGCCCAAATATCACAGAAATGGGGAAGAATTCCAAGGTTTTATCTCAAATATTCCCAAAATGACAAAGAATTCCAACATTTTAGCCCAACTATCCCGTAACGTTCTCCAAAACAAACGCGATCCGGCCCTTGTGGTTCACCACAATGAAAAACCTGTCCAGGGCTTGGAACAGGGAAAAATTCCAGAGATTTTATCCCAAATATCCCAAAATGGGAAAAATTCCTGAGATTTTAGCCCAAATATCCTGAAAATGGGAAAAAAACAGGAAGAAATTCCCAGGTTTTAGCCCAAATACCCAGTGACGTTCTCCGACACGAACGTGAACCGCCCCTCCCGGTTCACCACAAAGAAAAAACCATCCAGCGCCTGCAAAATGGGAAAAAACGGGAAAAAATTCCAAGATCTTAGGCCAAAACGGGGAAAAAATGGGAAAAAATTCCAAGGTTTTAGGTCGAAACGGGAAGAAAATATGAGATTTTTAGACCGACTATAGCCGGAACGAGGGAAAAACAAGAAACACAAGGTTTGATCTCCAATGTCACGAAACCCAAGGTTTTATCTCAAATATCCCAAAATGGGAAAAAATTCCAAGATTTTAGCCCAAAATGGGGAAAAAAAGGGGAAGAAATTCCAAGGTTTTAGCCCAACTATCCGGTGACGTTCTCCGACACGAACGCGAACCGCCCCTCCCGGTTCACCACGAAAAAAAAGCCGTCCAGCGCCTGCAAAAAGGGAAAAAATTCCGAGATTTTAGCCCAAAACGGGGAAAAACGGGAAAAATTACGAGATTTTAGGTCGAAATGGGAAGAAAATACGAGATTTTTAGACCAATTTATACTCAAAAGAAGAAGGAAACACAAGGTTTGATCTCAAATATCCTAAAATGGGAAAGAATTCCAAGGTTTTATCTCAAATATCTCAAAAACGAGGAAAAATTCCAAGTTTTTTTTCCAAATATCACAGAAATGGGAAAAAATTCCCAGGTTTTAGCCCAAATATCCGGTGACGGTCTCCGATACGAACGCGATCCGGCCCTTACGGTTCACCAGGAAGGAAAACATATCCAGGAATGAAAACAGGATAAAATTCCAAGGTTTTGTCCCAAATATCTCAAAATGGGAAAAAATTCCAAGGTTTTAACTCAACTATCCCAAAAATTGGAAAAGAACGGGAAGAAAATCCGAGATTTTTAGCCCAACTATCGCCAAAATGAGGGAAAACCAAGAAACACAAGGTTTGATTTCCAATATGATGAAAATGGGAAAGAAACAGGAAAAAAGCCAAGGTTTTATCTCAAATATCCCAAAATGGGAAAAAATTCCAAGATTTTAGCCCAAAACGGGAAAAAATTCCAAGGTTTTAGGCCGAAACGGGAAAAAATGGGAAGAAAATACGAGATTTTTAGACCAACTTATTCCGAAAAGAAGGAAACACAAGGTTTGATTTCTGATAGGACGAAAATGGGAAAGAAAAAAGAAAAAAAAGTCAAGTTTTTATCTCAAATATCCCAAAAACCAGAGAAAATTCCAAGATTTTAGCCCAAAATGGGTAAAAAACGGGAAGAAATTCCCAGGTTTTAGCCCAAATATCCGGTGACGTTCTCCGACACGAACGCGATCCGGCCCTTACAGTTCACCAAAATGAAAAACCCATCCAGGGCCTGGAACAGGGAAAAATTCCAGAGATTTTATCCCAAATATACCAAAATTAGGAAAAATTCCTGAGATTTTAGGCCAAATATCCTGAAAATGGGAAAAAACAGGAAGAAATTCCAAAGTTTTAGCCCAAATATCCGGTGACGTTCTCCGACACGAACGCGATCCGGCCCTCCCGGTTCACCACAAAGAAAAAACCATCCAGTGCCTGCAAAACGGGAAAAAAAGGGAAAAAATTCCGAGGTTTTAGCCCAAAACGGGGAAAAAACGGGAAAAAATTCCAAGATTTTAGCCCAAATATCCGGTGACGTTCTCCCACACAAACATGATCCAACCCTTACGGTTCACCACAAAGAAAAACCAGTCCAGAGACACAAACAGGAAAAAATTCCAAGGTTTTGTCCCAAATATCTCAAAACGGGAAAGAATTCCAAGATTTTAGCCCAAAATGGGGAAAAAAACGGGAAGAAATTAAAAGGGTTTAGCCCAAATATCCGGTGACGTTCTCCGACATGAACGTGATCCAGCCCTCGCGGTTCATCAGGAAGAAAAACCCATCCAGCGCCTGGAGAAGGGAAAAAACGGGAAAAAATTCCAAGAATTTAGGCCAAAATGGGAAGAAAAATTCGTCCAGCGCCTGCAAAAAGGGAAAAAACGGGAAAAAATTCCAAGGTTTTAGGTCGAAACGGGAAGAAAATACGAGATTTTTAGCCCGACTATCACCGAAACGAGGGAAAACCAAGAAACACAAGGTTTGATTTCCAATATGACGAAACTGGGAAAGAAACAGGAAAAAAGCCAAGTTTTTATCTCAAATATCCCAAAATGGGAAAGAATTCCAAGATTTTCTCCCAAATAGCTCAAAAATGGGAAAAACCAGGAAGAAATTCCAAGGTTTTAGCCCAAATACCCAATGACGTTCTCCGACACGAACGTGAACCGACACTCCCGGTTCACCACAAAGAAAAAGCCGTCCAGTGCCTGGAAAAGGGGAAAAAATGGGAAAAAAATCCAAGATTTTACCCCAAAACGGGGAAAAAACGGGAAAAAATTCCGAGATTTTAGGTCGAAATGGGAAGAAATTGCGAGATTTTTAGACCAATTTATACTCAAAAGAAGAAGGAAACACAAGGTTTGATCTCAAATATCCTAAAATGGGAAAGAATTCCAAGGTTTTATCTCAGATATCTCAAAAACCAGGAAAAATTCCAAGGTTTTTTTCCAACTGTCACAAAAATGGGAAAAAATTCCCAGGTTTTAGCCCAAATATCCGGTGATGTTCTCCGTCACGAACGTGATCTGGCCCTTACAGTTCACCAAAATGAAAAACCCATCCAGGGCCTGGAACAGGGAAAAATTCCAGAGATTTTATCCCAAATATACCAAAACTAGGAAAAATTCCTGAGATTTTAGGCCAAATATCCTGAAAATGGGGAAAAAACGGGAAGAAATTCCAAGGTTTTAGCCCAAATATCCAGTGACGTTCTCCGACACGAACGCGATCCGGCCCTCGCAGGTCACCACGAAGAAAAACACATCCAGGGACGTAAACAGGAAAAAATTCCAAGGTTTTATCCCAAATATCACAAAATGGGAAAAAATTCCAAGGTTTTAACTCAACTATCCCAAAAATGGGAAAAGAACGGGAAGAAAATCTGAGATTTTTAGACCAACTATCGCCGAAACGAGGGAGAAACAAGAAGGAAACACAAGGTTTGATTTCCAACATGACGAAAATGGTAAAGAAACAGGAAAAAAGCCAAGGTTTTATCTCAAATATCACAAAATGGGAAAAAAATTCCAAGATTTTAGCCCAAAATGGGGAAAAAAACGGGAAAAAATTCCAAGATTTTAGGCCGAAACGGGGGGAAAAAACGGGAAGAAAATCTGAGATTTTTAGACCAACTTATCCCCAAAATGAGGCAAAAACAGGAAGAAAATCCAAGGTTTGATCTCAAATATCCCAAAATGGGAAAGAATTCCAAGGTTTTATCTCAGATATCTCAAAAACCAGGAAAAATTCCAAGTTTTTTTCCCAAATATCCCAAAACAGGAAAAAATTCCAAGGTTTTAACTCAACTATCCCAAAAATGGGAAAAGAACAGGAAGAAAATCCAAGGTTTAGTCTCAAGTATCCGAAAATTGGAAAGAATTCCAAGGTTTTATCTCAAATATCCCCAAAATGGGTCCCTCCAATCCCAAAATTCCAACCAGGAACGAAGATCCACCTTGGTTATTCCTGGATTTGGGTCCGAAAACCCCAAAATTCCATCCAGGATCCGAGATTTGGGTCCTCAAATCCCAAAATTCCATCCGGGATCCGAGATTTGGGTCCTCAAATCCCAAAATTCCATCCGGGATCCAAGATTTGGGTCCTCAAATCCCAAAATTCCATCCGGGATCGAAGATTTGGGTCCTCAAATCCCAAAATTCCATGTGGGATCCGAGATTTGGATCCTCAAATCCCAAAATTCCATGTGGGATCCGAGATTTGGATCCTCAAATCCCAAAATTCCATCCGGGATCCAAGATTTGGCTCCTCAAACCCCAAAATTCCATCCGGGATCCGAGACCCACCCTGGCTTTTCCGGGAATTCCCGGATTCCCCCAGACACGGGAGGAGGAAGAACGGAGCAACCCAAGGGTTGGGAAAATCCCAAAAACTTGAATTTGGGAAAATCCCTGAATCCCAATTCAGGTGCGGTCCATGGCCAGGTCTGGATCCTGATCCTAAACCTGGTCCTGATCCTGATCCTGATCCTAAAACGAATCCTGATCCTAAACCTGATCCTGATCCTAATCCTAATCCTGATCCCAATGTCTAATCCTAATCCTAATCCTAATCTTAATACCAAAACTAATCCTGATCCTAATCTTGATCCTAATCCTGATCCTAAACCTGATCCTGATCCTAATATAAAACTAATCCTGGTCCTAAACCTGATCCTGAACCTGATCCTGATCCTAAATGTGATCATGATCCTGATCCTGATCCTAATCCTGATCCTAAACCTGATCCTGATCCTAATCCTAAAACTAATCCTGATCCTAAACCTGATCCCGATTCTGATCCTGAACCTGATCCTAAATGTGATCATGACCCTGATCCTGATCCTAATCCTGATCCTAAAACTAATCCTGATCCCAATCCTGATTCTGATCCTAAAACTAATCCTGATCCTGGTCCTAATCCTGATCCTGGTCCTAATCCTCATCCTGGCCTTAATTCGAATCCTAATCCTAACCCAAATCCTAATCCTAAAACTAATCTTGATCCTGACTCTAATCCCAAATCCCAATTCAAGCACGGTCCTAGGCCAGGTCCTGATCCTGATCCTAATCCTGATCCTGATCCTAATCCTAAAATTAATCTTGATCCTAATTCTGATCCTGATCCTAATCTTGTTCCTATACCTGATCCTAATCCTGATCCTAATCCTGATCCTAATCCTGACCCTAGTCCTGATCCTGATCCTGGTCCTAAACCTGATCCTAATCCTGATCCTGATCCTAATCCTAAAACTAATCTTGATCCTGACTCTAATCCCAAATCCTGATTCAAGCACGGTCCTAGGCCAGATCCCGATCCTGATCCTAATCCTGATTCTGATCCTAAATGTGATCATGACCCTGGATCTTGATCCTAATCCTGATCCTAATCCTGACCCTGGTCCTAATCCTGATCCTGATCCTAAAACTAATCCTGATCCTAAAGCTAATCCTGATCCTAATCCCAATCCTAAAACTAATCCTGATCCTGGTCCTAACCGTAATCCTAAAACTAATCCTGATCCTGATGCTAAAATCAATTTTGATCCTAAAACTAATCCTGATCCTAAAACTATACCTGATCCTAATCCCGGACCTAAAACTAATCCTGATCCTGGTCCTAACCCTAATCCTAATCCTAAAACTGCTCCTGATCCTGCCTCTAACCCCAAATCCCAAATCCAATTTGGGATTTTCCCGATCCCAATTTTTGGGGTCCCACCTCGAGCAGGAGCGGCCCCAGGGACTCCTTCTCGATGACGCCCTGGCTGCTGGAGGAGATGTCGGATTTCTGCACGTCATCATCCGCCGGATTTTCTGAAAAAAAATGGGAATTCCACAACTTTCAACCCCAAATCCGACACAAAAAAAAATTGCTAATTTTTCCCCAAATTTTCCTGATTTTTCCCTGAATTTTCCTGTTTTTTACCCAAATTTTCCTGATTTTTTCCCATTTTTTTATTGATTTTCTACCAAATTTTCCCCTAAATTTCCCCAAAATTTCCCTGATTTTTCCTGAATTTTTCTCTATTTTCACTTGAATTTTCCCCTAAACTTTATCTGACTTTTCCCCAAAATTTTTCCTAATTTTTTCCCAATTTTTCCCTAAGTTCCCCCAAATTTTCCCCTAAACTTTCCCCAGATTTTCCCACTTTTCCCCTGAATTTTCCCCTACACTTTCTCTGAATTTTCCCAAGTTTTCCCTAATTTTTCCCAAATTTCCCCTGAATTTTCCCCTAAATTTTTCCGGAATTTTCCCAACTTTTCCCTGTTTTCCCATTTTTTCCGAAATTTTCTGCCAAATTTTCCCCAAAACTTTTCCCAAAATTTCCCTGATTTTCCTGAATTTTTCCCAATTTTCCCCTGAATTTTCCCCTAAACTTTCTCTGAATTTTCCTCAAAATTTTCCCAAGTTTTCCCTAAAATTTTCCCAATTTTTCCCCAATTTCCCCCAAATTTTCCCAATTTTCCCCCGAATTTTCCCCTAAACTTTCCCCAAATTGTCCCAAATTTCCCCTGAATTTCCCCCTAAATTTTTCCTGAATTTTTCCAACTTTTCCCTTTTTCCCATTTTTTCCCAAATTTCCCCTGAATTTTCCCCTAAACTTTTCCCAAATGTTCCCTGATTTTTAAATTTTCCCACACTTCCCCCAAATTTTCCCCTAAATCTTTCCCTGAATTTTCCCCTGAATTATGCAGAATTTTCCCCAAATTTTCCTGAAATTTTCCCATGTTTTCCCAACCTTTTCCTTATTTTTTCCCATTTTTTTCACAAATTTTCCCTGAATTTCATCCTAAATTCTTCCTAAATTTTCCTGAATTTTTCACTAAATTTTCCCCGAAATTCCCCTGTATTTTCCTACATTTTTCCCCAAGTTTCCCCTGAATTGTCCCCAATTTTTCCCTGATTTTCCCCTAAATTTTCCCTATATTTTCCCCAACTTCCTCCCAAATTTCCCCTGAATTTTTCTCAATTTTCCCCCATTTTCCCTGAATGTTCCCCAATTTCCCTTGAATTTTCCCCAAATTTTCCCTATATTTTCCCCCCAAATTCCCACTAAATTTCCTTTGATTTTTCCCCAATTTTCCCCTGCATTTCCTCCAAATTTTCCCTGGATTTTGTGTATTTCCCCCCAATTTTCCCCCAGTATTTTCCCCAATTTTCCGTAAACTTTCCCTGATTTCCCCCAAATTTTTCACTATTTTTCCACCGTATTTACCACAAATTTTCCCCATTTTCCCTCAGATTTTACACAATTTTCCCCTGTATTTTTCCCAAATTTTCCCCAATTTCTCCTGATATTTCCCTGATTTTCCCCCAAATTTCTCCTGATAGTTCCCTGATTTCCCCCAAATTTTCCACTAATTTTGCCCTGTATTTTCCCCAAACTTTCCCTAATTTTTCCTGATTTTTCCCCAATTTTCCCCGATTTTTCCGCAAATTTTCCCGTTTCCCCTGCATTTCCGCCCAGTTTTCCCCCAGTATTTTCCCCAATTTTCCCCCTATTTTTCCCCAATTTTCCCTAAACTTTCCCTGATTTCCCCAAATTTTCCACTATTTTACCACCGTATTTACCACCGTATTTACCACAAATTTTCCCCAAAATTTTCCACTATTTTTCCCCTGTATTTTTCCCAATTTTTCCCCAATTTCTCCTGGTATTTCCCTGATTTTCCCCCACATTTCTCCTGATAGTTTCCTGATATTCCCCCAAATTTTTCTCTATTTTTGCCCTGTATTTTCCCCAAACTTTCCCCAATTTTTCCTGATTTTCCCCCGATTTCCCCCCAAATTTTCCCGTTTCCCCTGCATTTCCGCCCAGTTTTCCCCCAGTATTTTCCCCAATTTTCCCCCTATTTTTCCCCAATTTTCCCTAAACTTTCCCTGATTTCCCCCAAATTTTCCACTATTTTACCACCGTATTTACCACCGTATTTACCACAAATTTTCCCCAAAATTTTCCACTATTTTTCCCCTGTATTTTCCCCAAATTTTTCCCAATTTCTCCTGATATTTCCCTGATTTTCCCCCAAATTTCTCCTGACAGTTCCCTGATTTTCCCCCAAATTTTCCACTATTTTTGCCCTGTATTTCCCCTAACTTTCCCCAATTTTTCCTGATTTTTCCCCAATTTTCCCCCAAATTTCCCGATTTTTCCGCAAATTTCCCTGCTTCCCCTGCGTTTCCCCCCAATTTTCCCCCAGTATTTTCCCCAAATTTCCCCCAGTATTTTCCCCAATTTTCCCTAATTTCCGCCTAATTTTCCACTATTTTTCCACCGTATTTACCACAAATTTTCCAATTTTCCCCTGTATTTTTCCCAAATTTTCCGCAATTTCTCCTGATATTTCCCTGATTTCCCCCCAAATTTCTGATAGTTCCCTGATTTTCCCCCAAATTTTCCTCTATTTTTGCCCTGTATTTTCCCCAAACTTTCCCCAATTTTTCCTGATATTTCCCTGATTTTCCCCCAAATTTCCCCAAAATTTTCCCCAATTTTTCCCTGTTTTCCCCCAAATTTTCCCATTTCCCCTGCGTTTCCCCCCAGTTTTCCCCCAGTATTTTCCCCAATTTTCCCCCTATTTTTTCCCCAATTTTCCCTAAACTTTCCCTGATTTCCCCCAAATTTTCCACTATTTTACCACTGTATTTACCGCAAATTTTCCCAATTTCCCCCCAAATTTTCCACAATCTTTCCCCTGTATTTTTCCCAAATTTTCCCCAATTTATCCTGATATTTCCCTGATTTTCCCCCAAATTTCTCCTGATAGTTCCCTGATTTTCCCCCAAATTTTCCACTATTTTTGCCCTGTATTTCCCCTAACTTTCCCCAATTTTTCCTGACTTTTCCCTGATTTCCCCCCAAATTTTCCCATTTCCCCTGCGTTTCCCCCCAGTATTTTCCCCAATTTTCACCCTATTTTTCCCCAATTTTCCCTCAACTTTCCCTGTTTTCCCCCTAATTTTCCACTATTTTTCCACTGTATTTACCACAAATTTTCCCAATTTTCCCCCAAATTTTCCACTATTTTTCCCCTGTATTTTTCCCAAATTTTCCCCAATTTCTCCTAATATTTCCCTGATTTTCCCCCACATTTCTCCTGATAGTTTCCTGATTTCCCCCAAATTTTCCACTATTTTTCCACCGTATTTACCACAAATTTTCCCAATTTCCCCCCAAATTTTCCACAATCTTTCCCTTGTATTTTACCAAAAATTTTCCCCAATTTCTCCTGATATTTCCCTGATTTTCCACCAAATTTCTCCTGACAGTTCCCTGATTTCCCCCCAAATTTTCCACTACTTTTGACCTGTATTTTCCCCTAATTTTCCACAATTCTTCCTGATTTTTTCCCAATTTTCCCCAACTTTCCCCCAATTTTCCCCCAATCTTTCCTCGAATTGTCCCCAAATTTTCCCTGATTTTCCCCAACTTCCTCCCAAATTTCCCCTGAATTTTTGTCAACTTCCCCCAAATTTTTTCCCAATTCTCCCCCAAATTTTCTCCGATTTTCCCCAAATTTTCCCCTGAGTTTCCCCCCATTTTTTCCCCAATTTCCCCCCAAATCCCCCAAATTTTCCCGATTCCCCACCCTGCTCGAGGCGTTTGATCTGCTGGATCTGATCCACGGTTTTCTTCAGGGCGAGGCCGTGCTCGGCTTTGCCCAGCGAGTCCAACTCGCCCGGGTGCGCCGACAGCAGCTCCGCCAGCTCCGCCAGGTACCGCCGCTCCTGCTCCCGCCGGCGCTTCTCCGCGCTGCCAAAACAGAATTCCAAATATTCCAAACTTTTCCCAAAGTTTCCCCGTTTTTTCCCCATTTTTCCCTGATTTTTTCCAGTTTTTTTCTGACTTTTTCACTATTTTTCCCCAGTTTTTCCCACTATCTTGCTCCTGCTCGCACGCCACTTCTCTGCACTGCCAAAACAAAATTCCAAATATTCCAAATTTTTCCCAAAATTTCCCAAAGTTTTCCCATTTTTTTCCCATTTTTTCCTGGTTTTCCCCCATTTTTTCCTGATTTTTTACCAATTTTTTCCCATTTTTTTTCTGATTTTTTTACTATTTTTTCCCCAATTTTCCCCACTGTTTTGCTCCTGCTCGCACGCCACTTCTCCACACTGCCAAAACAAAAATTGCAAATATTCCAAACTTTTCCCAAAATTCCCAAAGTTTTCCCATTTTTTCCTGATTTTTTACCAATTTTTCCCCATTTTTTTCTGAATTTTTTACTAGTTTTCCCCCAGTTTTCCCCACTATTTTGCTCCTGCTCGCACGCCACTTCTCCACACTGCCAAAACAAAAATTGCAAATATTCCAAACTTTTCCCAAAAATTCCCAAAGTTTTCCCATTTTTTCCTAATTTTTTCCTAATTTTTTCCCTTTTTTTTCTGACTTTTTCACTATTTTTCCCCAGTTTTTCCCACTATCTTGCTCCTGCTCGCACGCCGCTTCTCCGCGCTGTCGAAACAAAATTCCAAATTTTCTCAATTTTTCCAAAAGTTTCCCCAATTTCTTCCTGATTTTTCAGTTTTTTCACTATTTTTTTCTGATTTTTCCCTATTTTTTTACAAATTTCCCCTGATTTTTTCCCAATTTTTTCCCAATTTCCTCCAATTCTCCCCACTATTTTGCTCCTGCTCGCGCGCTGCTTCTCTGCACTGCCAAAACAAAATTACAAACATTCCAAACTTTTCCCAAAGTTTCCCAACGTTTTACCATTTTTCACCATTTTTCCTGATTTTTTACCAATCTTTTCCCATTTTTTTCTGATTTTTTCACTAATTTTCCCCAATTTTCCCCACTGTTTTGCTCCTGCTCGCACGCCGCTTCTCTGCACTGCCAAAACAAAAATTACAAATATTCCAAACTTTTCCCAAAAATTCCGAACGTTTTACCATTTTTCCCCCATTTTTTCCTGATGTTTTTCCATTTTTTCCCCATTTTTTCTTGATTTTTTTACTATTTCCCTCCAATTTTCCCTAATTTTTTGCTCCTGCTCGCGCTGCTGCTTCTCTGCACTGCCAAAACAAAATTCCCAAATTTTTTCAGATTTTCCCCAAATTTTCTGATTTGTTCCCAAAATTATCCCAAATTTTCCCCGATTTTCCCCCAATTTTTCCCACATTTTTCCTAAATTTTCCTGCATTTTCCACAAATTTTTCCAGAATTTTCCCCAAATTTTCCCCGAACTTTCTCCAATTTTTTCCCAAATCTCCTGACTTTTTTCCTGAATTTATCTCTAAATCTCCCCAATTTTCCCCAAATTTTCCCTGAACTTTCTCCAATTTTTTTTCCCAAATCTCCTGATTTTTTCCTGAATTTATCTCTAAATCTCCCCAATTTCCCCCCAATTTTCCCCAAATTTCTCCTGATTTTTTCCCATTTTTCTTGAATTTTTTTCCCAAATTTTCCCCATTTTTCCCAAATTTCCCCCAAATTTCTCCTGATTTTTTCCCCATTTTTTCTCAGATTTTCCCAAAATTTTCCCTGACTTTTCCCCACATTTACTCATTTGTTCCCAAATTTTCCCCGATTTTCTTCCTATTTTTCCCCCATTTTCCCCAAATTTTCCTGCATTTTCCACAAATATTTCCAGAATTTTCCCCAAATTTCTCCTGATTTTTCCCCACTTTTCATGAATTTTTTCCCAAATTCCCCCATTTTTCCCAATTTTTTCCCAAATTTCCCCGAAATTTCTCCTGATTTTTTTCCCCATTTTTTTCTCAGATTTCCCCCCATTTTCCCAAATTTTCCTGCATTTCCCACAAATTTTTCCCCCATTTTCCCCAAATTTTTCCAGAATTTTCCCCGTATTTTCCCTGAACTATCTTCAATTTTTTCCCAAATCTCCTGATTTTTTCCTGAATTTATCTCTAAATTTCCTCAATTTTCTCCTAATGTTTTTCCCCATTTTTTCTCAGATTTCCCCAAATTTTCCCTGAATTTTCCCCAAATTTCCTGATTTGTTCCCAAATTTATCCCAAATTTTCCCCGATTTTCCCCCAATTTTTCCCACATTTTCCCAAATTTTCCTGCATTTTCCACAAATTTTTCCAGATTTTTCCCCAATTTTTCCCCCATTTTCCCCATATTTTCCTGCATTTTCCCCAATTTTTTCCAGAATTTTCCACAAATTTTCCACAAACTTTCTCCAATCTCTTCCCAAATTTACCAATTTTTTCCTGAATTTATCCCAAATTCTCACACATTTTCTCCCAATTTTCCCCAAATTTCTCCTGATTTTTTTCCGTATTTTTCCCAAATTTTCCAAATTTTCCCCCGTTTTTCCCTAATTTATCCCAAATTTTCCCCGATTTTCCCCCAATTTTTCCCCCATTTTCCCCAAATTTTCCTGCATTTTCCACAAATTTTTCCCCCATTTTCCCCAAATTTCTGCAGAATTTTCCCTGAATTTTTCCTGAACTTTCTCCAATTTTTTCCCAAATCTCCCAATTTTTTTCCTGAATTTATCCCTAAATTTCCCCTATCTTTCCCCAATTTTCTCCAAATTTCTCCTAATTTTCTCCCATTTTTCTTGATTTTTTTCCCAAATTTTCCCATATTTTCCCCAAATTTCTGCAGAATTTTCCCTGAATTTCCCCCGAACTTTCTCCAATTTTTTCCCAAATCTCCTGATTTTTTCCTGAATTTATCCCTAAATTTCCCCAATTTCCCCCCAATTTCCCCCAAATTTCCCCTGATTTTTTTCCCCAATTTTTCTCAGATTGTCCCCAAATTTTCCCCGAATTTTCCCCATATTTTCTGATTTGTTCCCAAATTTATCCCAAATTTTCCCCGGTTTTCCCCCAATTTCCCAAATTTTCCCCAAATTTTTCTAGAATTTTCCCCGAACTTTCTCCAATTTTTTCCCAAATATCTCGATTTTTTCCTGAATTTATCCCAAATTTTCACACATTTTTCCCAATTTTCCCCAAATTTCTCTGATTTTTTTTTCCTTATTTTTCCCAAATTTTCCCAATTTTCCCCCATTTTCCACAAATTTTTCCCAAATTTTCCCCGATTTTCCCCCAATTTTCCCCCCATTTTTCCCAAATTTTCCTGCATTTTCCACAAATTTTCCCAGAATTTTCCCCAAATTTTTCCAGAATTTTCCCTGAATTTTCCCCGAACTTTCTCAAATTTTTTTCTCAAATCTCCTGTTTTCCTGTATTTATCCCTAAATTTCCCCTATTTTTCCCCAATTTTCCCAAAATTTCTCCTGATTTTCTCCCATTTTTCTCAAATTTTTTCTCGAATTTCTCCCAAATTTTCCCCAAATTTCTCCTGATTTTTTCCCCATTTTTTCTCAGATTTTCCCCTATTTTCCCCGAATTTTCCCCAAATTTCTCCTGATTTTTTCCCATTTTTCTCGAATTTTTTCCCAAATTTTTCCCAAATTTTCCCCAAATTTCTCCTGATTTTTTCCCCATTTTTTCTCAGATTTTCCCCAAATTTCCCCCAAAATTTTCCAGAATTTTCCCCGAATTTTCCCCAAGCTTTCTCCAATATTTTCCCAAATCTCCTGATTTTTTCCTGAATTTATCCCTAAATTTCCCCTATTTCCCTCCAATTTTCCACAAATATCTCCTGATTTTTCCCCATTTTTCTCTAATTTCTCCCCAAATTTCTCCCAAATTTTCCCAAAATTTCTCCTGATTTTTTTCCCCATTTTTTCCTCAGATTTTCCCCAAATTTCCCTATATTTTCCACACATTTTACCATAATTTCCCCACATTTTCCCAGAATTTTCCCCGAATTTTCCCCGAACTTTCTCCAATTTTTTTTTTTAATCCGAAATTTTCACAGATTTTTCTCCCAATTTTCCCCCAAATTTCTCCCAAATTTTTCCCAAATTTCTCCTGATTTTTTTCCCCTTTTCTGAGATTTTCCCCTATTTTCCCTGAATTTTCCCCAAATTTCTCCTGATTTTTTCCCTATTTTTTCCCCATTTTTTCCCAATTTCCCCCCAATTTTCCCCCAAATTTTTCCCGCCTTTCCGGTGTTCCGGCGTTCCGGTACCTCTGGCCGGGCTCTCCGGGGGAGCTTTTCCGTTTCCGGCACTCGGCCGCGTCGGCGGCGCCGTCGCTGAGGCCGCTCATGGTGGATCCTACGGAGCCCCTGGAAAACAACGGCAAAAGGGAATCCCTCAGGAAGGGCCAGAATTCCGGGCATTTGGGGTTTCCAGGGATTTGGGATTCCCAGAATTTCTGTGGATTTTGGGTTCCCAACATTCCCAGGGATTTGGGGTTTCCAGGGATTTGGGATTCCCAAAATTCCCAGGGATTGGGGGTTCCCAAAATTCCCAAGGATTTGGAGTTCCTGAGGATTTGGGATTCCCGGGATTTCTGTGGATTTGGGATTCTCCATATTCCCAGGGATTTGGGATTTCCGGGAATTTGAGATTCCCAAAATTCCCAGGGATTTGGGGTTCCCAAAATTCCCGGGGATTTGGGGTTCCCGGGGATTTGGGGTTCCCGGGGATTTGGGATTCCCAACATTCCCAGGGATTTGGGATTCCTGATATTCCCAAGAATTTTGGATTCCGGAGATTTGGGATTCCCAAAATTTCCAGGGATTTTGGATTCCCGGGGATTTGGAATTCCGGAGATTTGGGATTCCCAGAATTTCTGTGGATTTGGGATTCCCAGTATTCCCAAGGATTTGGGGTTCCCAGGAATTTGGGATTCCCAGGGATTTGGAATTCCTGGGATTCCCAGGGATTTGGGATTCCTGATATTTCCAAGAACTTTGGATTCCGGAGATTTGGGATTCCCAGAATTTCTGTAGATTTGGGATTCCCGATATTCCCAAGGATTTGGGATTCCAGGGATTTGGGATTGCAGAGATTTGGGATTCTCAATATTCCCAAGGATTTGGGATTCCCAAGAATTTGGAATTCTGGGATTCCCAGGGATTTGGGATTCCCGATATTCCCAAGAACTTTGGATTCCGGAGATTTGGGATTCCCAAAATTCCCAAGGATTCTGGATTCCCGGCGATTTGGGATTCCCGGGATTCTTGTGGACTTGGAATTCCCAAAGATTTGGGATTCCCAGGAAATCTGTGGATTTGGGATTCTCGATATTCCCAGGGATTTGGGATCCCAGGGATTCGGGATTTCCCAGGATTCCTCTGGATTTGCGATTCCCAAGGATTTGGGATTCCTTGGGATTTGGGATCCCAGGGATTTGGGATTTCCCAGGATTCTTCCGGATTTGGGATTCCCAAGGATTTGGAATTCTGATATTCCCAAGGTCGGAACCCGACCCAACCCAACGGAACCCAACGGAACTCAATGGAACTCAATGGAACCCAATGGAACCCAACGGAACCCAATGGAACTCAATGGAACCGAACCAAACCCAACGGAACCAAACGGAACCAAACCCAACCCAACGGAACCCAACGGTGCCCAACCCAACCCAACAGAACCCAATGGAACAGAATGGAACCAAAGGGAACCCAACAAAATGAAACAGAACCCAACCCAACCCAACAGAACCTAACAGAACCCAACGGAACCAAAACCAACCCAACCCAACCCAACCCAACCCAACCCAACAGAACCAAACCCGACCCAACAGAACCAAACCCGACCCAACGGAACCAAACCCGACCCGACCCAACCCAACTTAACCTAACCCAAACCAAGGGAACCAGACCCAACCTAAACAAACTCAACAGAACTGAACCCAACCCAACAGAACTAAACCCAACCCAATGGAACCCAATGGAACCCAACCCAACCCAACCCAACAGAACCGAACCCAACCCAACGGAACCCAACAGAACCGAACCCAACCCAACGGAACCCAACAGAACCCAACCCAACCCAATGGAACCCAACCCAACCCAACCCAACTCCAAGGAACCCAACCCAACCCAATGGAACCGAACCCAACCCAATGGAACCCAATGGAACCCAACCCATCCCAACAGAATCCGACAGAACCACACGGAACTCAACAGAAGGAAAACGAACCCAAGCCAATGGAACCCAACAGAACCAAAAAGAACCGAAGGGAACCCAACCCAACCCAATGGAACCAAATGGAAGCCAATAAGATCAAACCTTGCTCAACCAAACCCAACCGAACCAAACGGAACCCAACCATCCCAATGGAACCGAACCCAACCCAATGGAAGCCAACAGAACCCAACCCAACCCAATGGAACCCAACCCATCCCAACAGAATCCGACAGAACCCAATGGAACTCAACAGAAGGAAAACAAAACCAACCCAATGGAACCAAACAGAACCAAAAAGAACCGATGGGAACCCAACCCAACCCAATGGAACCCAATGGAACCCAACAGAATCCAACAGAAACCAGCCCAACCCAACAGAACCCAACAGAACTCAACAGAACCCAATGGAACAGAACGGAACCAAAAGGAACCGAACCCAACCCAACAGAACCCAACAGAACCCAACGGAACCCAACGGAACCCAACAGAATCCAACAGAAACCAGCCCAACCCAATGGAAACCAACAGAACCCAACAGAATCAAACCCAACCAACAGAACCCAACGGAACCCAACGGAACCCAACAGAACCCAATGGAATGCAACCCAATGGAACCAAACAACCCAACACAACCCAACACAACACAACCCAATGGAACCCAACGGAACCAAACATAACCCAACGCAACAGAAGCAAAGAGAACCCAACGGAACCCAACGGAACCCAACAGAACCCAATGGAACAGAACGGAACCAAAAGGAACTGAATCCAACAGGACCCAACAGAACCCAATGGAACCCAACAGAACCCAACGGAACCAAACTCAACCCAACAGAACCAAAGGGAACCCAACCCAACCCAATGGAACCCAACGGGACCAAAGGGAACCCCACAAAATGAAACGGAACCAAACGTTCCCAACCCAACCCAGCGGAACCCAACAGAACCCAACCCAACCCAACCCAATGGAACCAAACCTAACCCAACAGAACCCAACCCAACCCAACCCAACCCAATGGAACCGAACCCAGCCCAACAGAACCCAACGGAACCAAACGGAACCAAAGGGAACCCAACAAAATGAAATGGAACCAAACGTTCCCAACCCAACCCAACGGAACCCAACGGAACCAAACCTAACGGAACCCAACAGAGCCCAACCAAACGCAACTGAACCCAACCCAATGGAACCCAACTCAACGGAGCTGAACGGAACCAAACCCAACGCAATGGAACCAAAGAGAACCCAACAGAACCAAACCCAACCCAACGGAACCCAACTCAACAAAATCAAATGGAAGCCAAGAGAACCCAACCCAACAGAACCCAATGGAACCAAACTGAACCAACCCAACCAACCCAACCCAACAGGACCAAACCCAATAGAACCCAACCCAACGGAACCCAATGGAACCAAACTGAACCAACCCAACCCAACAGAACCCAACAGAACCCAACCCAATGGAACCAAACCCAACCCAACCCAACCGAACCAAACCCAACCCAACAGAACCAACTCAACAAAATCAAATGGAAGCCAAGAGAACCCAACCCAGCGGAACCCAATGGAACCAAACTGAACCAACCCAACCCAACCCAACCGAACCCAACCAAACCCAACCCAACCAACCCAACCCAACCCAACGGAACCCAATGGAACCAAACAGAATCAACCCAACCAACCCAACGGAACCCAATGGAACCCAATGGAACACAACCCGACCCAACGGAACCCAACAGATCCCAACCCAACCCAAGAGAACCAAACCCAACAGAACCCAACGGAACCCAATGGAACCAAACTGAACCAACCCAACCCAACCCAACCCGACCCAACCCAACCCAACCCAACCCAACCAACCCAACCAACCCAACCCAACAGAACCAAACCCAACAGAACCCAAGCGAACCAATGGAACACAACCCAACCCAATGGAACCCAACCCAACCCAACAGAACCCAAGCAAACCAATGGAACACAACCCAACCCAATGGAACCCAACAGAACCCAACGGAACCCAACGGAACCGAACGGAACCAAACCCAACCCAATAGAACTCAACGGAACCCAACAGAACCCAATGGAACCAATCCCAACCCAACCCAACCCAACGGAACCCAATGGAACCAAACCCAACCCAACCAACCCAACCAACCCAACAGAACCCAACTCAACCCAACGGAACCAAACCCACCCCAACCAACCCAACCCAACCCAACCCAACCCAACCCAACCCAACCCGACCCAACCCAACCCAAACCAAACCAACTCAACCCAACCCAACCAACCCAACCCAACCAACCCAACCCAACCAACCCAACCAACCCAACCAACCTGACCCAACCCAACCAACCCAACCCAACCAACCCAACCCAACCAACCCAACCCAACCCAACCCAACCCAACCCAACCCACCCCAACCAACCCAACCCAACCAACCCAACCAACCCAACCAACCCAACCCAACCAACCAACCCAACCAACCCAACCAACCCAACCCAACCCAACCCAACCAACCCAACCCAACCCACCCAACCAACCCAACCCAACCCAACCTGACCCAACCCAACCAACCCAACCCAACCAAACCCAACCCAACCAAACCCAACCCAACCAAACCCAACCCCGAATTCCACCAAAATCTCAAAGTCCTTGGAAAATCCCCAAAATGCCTGGAAAATACCAATTCCTTGGAAAATCCCAAAAATCCTTGGAAACCCCCAAGAATTCTTTGGAAAATCCCAAAAATCCTTGGAAAACCCCAAGAATTCTTTGGAAAATCACAAAAATCCCCGGAAAAACCCCAAGAATTCTTTGGAAAATCACAAAATCCCTGGAAAACCCCAAGAATTCTTTGGAAAATCACAAAAATCCCCGGAAAACCCCAAGAATTCTTTGGAAAATCACAAAAATCCCCGGAAAAACCCAAGAATTCTTTGGAAAATCCCAAAAATTCCCAGAAAACCCTAAAAATTCTTTGGAAAATCCTAAAAATCTCTGGAAAACCCCCAAAATCCTCAGAACATCCCAAAAAAATACCTGGAAAATCCCAACAATCCTCAAAAAATGCATAAAAAATCCTTCAGAAATCCCAAGAATTCTTTGGAAACTCACATAAATCCCTGGAAAATCCAAAAAAAATCCTTAGAAAACCCAAAAAAAAAAAATCCCAAAAAATCCTTGAAAAACAAAAAAAAAATTCTTGGAAAATAAAAAAAAATTCTCAAAAAAACCCTAAAAATCCTTGGGAAACCCCAAAAATCTTCAGAAAAAATCCCC